TACATATATGCCTCCCACACCTACCTTGGTCCGACAAAGCTCACAGAACGCAAAAGACGAGGGCGTGACACTCGGGACATGCCGTGGAACGCGGAACGGGACGCGGAACACGGAACATTCCATTTCACGATTGCCCTCCTAGATTGACTGCTTGATGCGCTTCCGCGGAGATGCTTCGTATCATCCGTTCCCGCACACGCCACCGTAAGTGGCCTCGACAGTACCTCGTACCGCCAATCTGACGTAGCTTCCCATGCCATATGTAGACTTGCAACCGTTTCACCTGCTGTCTAGTGTACGCAACCCACGATGTTCGGTGTTGCGAACACTCATGTGCCGGCTTCATAGGCTTCATTCGCGGTCTTCTCGGACTGCGCAGCGCAACGATGTGTATTTTGGTCTGGGCAAGCTTTCCGAGCGGACGCCCATCCCAACAAAATCACGCCGCACGCAATTGCTCTTGGATCGCGGTTGCCTTCTTGATGAGACTCGACCCTCGCTCTACTGGCACTTCGCGATGACGACGTTACTACCGTCGACAGTTCCCAACTACATAAGGGGGCTTGAGGCGTACGCTGTCCGCAGTCCATTCCCTCCGCACTTGCGATGAAGCTCTCCTCGCGCTTCTCTGCACTTGCTCTAGCCCGCGTCGCTCTTGCAGGTACATTTTCCGTTGTCGACTCCTACGAAGGACAGGATTTCATCAATGAATGGTCCTTCGAAGCTATACCGGATCCAACCCACGGTTACGTGTACGTTGCGGAGTTCTCCTCTCAATGCACCACTCCCTGATGCAAGTTATGCTAGCAACTATCTCAGCAAGTCAGACGCCGTCAGCAAGGGGCTCGTTTTTGCATCCGGGAGCAACTTCACTCTGAAGGCTGACGACACCAATGTCGTGAGCTCGAGTGCTTCAGGACGCGATTCGGTGCGCATACAGTCGCCAAAGACATACAACTCTCATGTCACAGTGTGAGTAGATCGTTATCCTTTGAGTTCATCCGCTTATGCACGATTCAGCATCAATCTCGCGCATATGCCCAAGGGCTGTGGGACGTGGCCCGCCGTTTGGGAGGTAATGCATCGTCTTGAAGTGCTGCCGTTCTCGCTGTAACTGATATGCCACAGGTAGGGCCAAACTGGCCGGCAGGTGGAGAGGTCAGTGTGACACCATGTGTCATGGATACAGAGGCTAAGATTCCCGAAATCTGATGCCCAGGTGGACATCATTGAAGGTGCGCTTCCTCGGGTTTCTTCGCCCGTCGTGAACTGACTGCGGCTCCCAGGCGTCAATGACCAGGTGAGCGCGCACCTCCAGAGAGATATCTTTGTAGAACCAGGACACGAGAACTTTGCCTGTTACTAGGGTAAGCAGTTCCTGTCACTGATCGCCGATCCCGGGATCGCGCCTTACATGCGGTCTCATACAGAACCAAATCGTTCAAGTCTACACACCAGCCCTGATTGTTCCATTCCTTCTTCGGGCGACTTCTCTGGGTGTGTACGTACTCTTCGACGCCACGTACTATTCTTATCAGTCGACCAGCACTGTTGTGTCAACGAACTGCGACACATCCGTCAACGACAACTCCGGGTGTGGTATCGACTACTCAACAGACAACAGCTACGGCCATAGCTTCAACCTCATCCAAGGAGGCTTCTATGCGAGCGAGCGTACGACCACAGAAGTGAAGATATGGTAAGTATGGCAAATGCTGCTCTACGCAACCTCGATGGTGATTAGTGAAACAGGTTCTGGCCACGTACGGCAACCAACATCCCGAGCGATGTGCTGAGCGGCTCGAGCACTATCAACACCAACAACTGGGGCAAACCCCAAGCTTACTTCCCTAACACCGACTGTGATATCGGAAGCCACTTCAACGACAACAATATCATCATCAACTTGACGTTCTGTAGGTCGCTATGCTAAGTATTCCTCCTGTCGACTCTATGCTGAGCGCACTATGCAGGCGGCGATTGGGCGGGAAGTGCCTACTCAAGCTCGGGATGCCCTGGTACTTGCAACGGTACGACTGAAACTCTTCACATGAGCTTCAAGGGTCCTGACGGTCTCTCTAGACTACGTGCAGAACAACCCGTCGGAGATGGTCAATGCCTACTTCCTCATCATGTGGCTCAAAGTCTACGAGTACGTCATTTTATCTGCGTCAGCGTGCTGGACACTTGTCCTGACCTGGATTCAGGTCAAGCTCCCTCCAATTCGATGCAGAAAGGCAAACCGTGATGCGGGTTGAGGGTCATTAGGACTTGGATAACCGCCGAACGTCGCGCCTCACCTCATTCGACACTCTCGTATCAAGCATGTATGTACCGTGTTCACGCTTGTAAATAACGACCACTTCATGAACATCACGAGTTTGCATACCATGACTGCTATTTCTCTTCATATACGCGAATACACGCGATAGAGCCTATAGTACCTGCTGCCAATTAGTAGCGAGGCCGCGAGGCCATCATCGCGTAGATCGCGCCGGCAAATCCCGTAACGCTATAAATCCGCTCGCGCCTCGCGTCGCAACCTCTTCCTTACAGCCATAGTAGCCCAAAGGCCGCTCGCTCGCCCCATACAGACCGTAGTGTCTCTTTTGCGAGTCTCTTCCGAGCCCAGCTTCATCTCCGCAAGGAGACCCGCGTTACGCGGGAGTCGACGACAAGAAATGCGCTCATTTGTGCCCGCCCTGCGTCCGTCCCCCGTTGACGGACTTGAGCAATCTACACACACCTTCGTACGATGGCCGCGGGATTTCCGAAGCCATCTACGGTATACGAGACGAATACGTCACGTATATATTCATCTTGCTGGCTCTTGCGTGCTGCAGCTGCAAGAGCCATCCGCCTGTCGCCGCCGTCATTCTGGCGTAGGCAATGCAGCACACGTCCTTAGCTCCGCTGCACCCGCCACGGGCTTGCTTCGGCATAGACGGAGGGCTGTGGCGCGATGAGCTTGTGATAAGTCGACTGGCATGGGTGCCCTCCATCTTACGCTGTTGTTCAGCGGCCTTTTCGCGCGGGCAGCGGGCGATGCTCCGGACTGGGGTTGGTCCGCTCGTCGGGACGCTGGCGAACGGATTCTTCACTGGATCATTGGTGTGCGCCCGTGCGGAGCGTTGAGGGGTTTAGTTGGCGCGTGGGGTGGATGGGTCTCCTTGAGCACATATACCGCGGCACGCGCTCTTGTCCTTAGGACAAGGGCGTGTAGATGGTCTGGCAGCGAGCGCTTAGCGTCTGGTCCCGACCGCTCGGACGACTCTTGGACTTCCATGGCCTACCCAATTTTTATTTTTTGGACATGATTTGCGTCTCGTGCGCTATATACCGTATTTTCATCGATACAGCTTTGGTACCTAGAACTGTGTAACGTATCCGTAGCCCAAATATCAACATATTGTCAATCTCGACCCACACCTTGTCGCAATTGAAGAAGAAATGTCAAACATACTGTGATTGGATTTCACTCGTATTCTGTATGAGATACAGAGTGCAGAAACCATAGCAAGCACTCCGCACAGCCTCTCATTTGGAGGGTGCAATTGCGACACGCTGCGACATTCCCAACAAGTACCGCCATCCGCGCGTATGCGCGCCGGATTGATTGTTCACTCCAGAATATACGACAAACAGCACAAGATATTGCAGCAAGATAGCAAGAAAAATGAGTATGATACGGATACAATCTCAGTCACAAGCACAAGCAACAAGCAACAACAATTCAAGCACAAAAACCAATCACTCTTCCATCGCACTATCGCTATCCTCCTCATCACTACTATCCTCGCCCTCGCCCACCTCAATCGGCTCCAACGCAATATCATGGTCCGCGCCCACATACGAGTCGCAAATCACATACAGCCTCAGCGCGTGCTCGCCCTGCGGCAGCGTAAACTCGAGCTTGACGTTCGTGCTCTTGGCCACCGTAACGCGCTTGATCGAGTGCAGCTGCCTCGTCCCCTGCTCCCCGAGCACGACCCACCAGTTCGCGAGCTTCTTGCCCGGGAAGTATGGCGCGACGACGACGCCCGCGTCCGCGTCTTCCTCCTCGTCCTCGTCCCCGCGCCCAAGCGAGACCTGCAGCACGATCGGCGCGCCCGCGCGGTACTCGCCCTTGACGAGCTCGTGGTTCACATCAAGCGACGGATACGAGTTGACGAACGCCGCGACGTCGCGCATCTGGCGCGCGTCCATCGCGAGCAGCCTGTTGCGCGGCTCGTCGTCGAGGTCCATGATATCGTAAACGCTCTCGACGCCCGCGTCTTTACACCGCTTGATGACGTCCGGCTCGAAATGCGGGACCTGGCGCAGCGGCGAGTCGCTCTCCCACATCGCCTGCACGCACATCTGGCTCAGGTCCATCGCGCCGAGCGCGTTCAGCCAGGCGTTGGAGCTCATCACGTCCACCGCGGCGGAGAGGAGGTTCATCACGCGCTCGAGAATCGACGCCTGGTCCGCCGCGAGATCGGGCGGGAGCGTGAGGCGCGAGAAGTGCGCCTGCAGCAGCACGAACGTCTTCACTGACGGCTTCTCGAAGTCGGGCGCGTCCATCTTGACGGGCACGCGGTCGTAGATGCGGCGCAGGAGCGAGTCTTCGTGGCGGCGGATGGGGATGCTCTCGAACTCGTACGACGAGGAGACGATCTCCAAAAGACCTTTGAGCTTGGTGGTGGCTTTGAGCGAGAGCGTGAAGACTTCGACGGTCACGTAGGAGATGTTGTAGTAGGCCGCGATCATGCCGAGGTTGAGCGGCGACACGTCCATCTCGTCCTCTGTAAAGCATCATTAGTCCTCAATCCAAATGTAAAGACAAGCAATGAACATACCGAGCGCAATACACTTCGAATTGACGAGATCGTTGATCGTCTCCTCCACAAGCTCCGAAAGATGATCCGATAGCGCCTGATGACTGACGCTGCTCAGATTATAATAATTCGGGTTCTGCGTCATCCGCCGGTAAAAGTACGTCCACGTAAGGATATCCATCGCGTCCTGCTTGTTCTCGATCGTCTTGACCGCGATCTCGGCGAGGAAGTAGTCGTGCATCATGTGCGTCGGCAGGTGCGACTCGAGCGGGAGGCCCTCGGCGATGAACTTCTTGTAGAAGTCCTTGCGCGTCTGTTGGCACATGAGCACGCAGCGGCTGCGCGCGTCTTCGCGCGGGCGGCAGGCGCGGCCCATCATTTGGAGGACGTCGACGATGGGGTAGTCGATGTATCGGTGCTCCTTGCCCTCGTACGCCTGGACGCCCATGATGATCGTCATGTAGCTGGCGACAGGCAAACTCCACGCGGTATCCTACACCAAGCGTCAGCAACGCAACCGAACTCTCCGCCCCCAAAAGACACGGCATACCTTGGACGCAACGAGCACCTGAATAGCCCCGCTCTCAAACAACCTCTCCACAATCCTCTTATCCTGCCTACTCAGCGCCTCATGATAGAACCCGACCCCATGCTCGAGCGTCTCAACAAGCACCCGGTCCCCCACATGCTCCAAATGCGGCCTCAGCTCCTCCGCCTCCACATTCAAAAACCGATCCTCCTCCGCGTCCGCGTGCGCATGCAGCAGCAGATCCTGCGCCGTCAGCCGCGCCTGCTGCCGGCTCGGCACGAACACGATCACCGGCTTGTTTGGCGCGTGCTCGACGATGGCGAGATAGGCCGGCTTGGACATCGCGAGCATCAGGCTGGGGAAGTGCGCGATCTGGAAGCTCTGGATGTGGATGTCCATGTCGAGCGGGCGCGCCGCGGGCGCAAAGTTGAAGATCGCGTGCGCGGGGCAGCCGAGCCACTCGCCGAGATCGCGCGCGTTGGCGAGCGACACGCCGCACGCGACGATGCGCGTCTTGACCTCCGTCTGCGCGGCCATGTACCTTGCTCTCGAGAGTACAACCTCGTACGTCGGCCCGATATCGCCGCCCACGAGCTGCACCTCGTCCGCGATGAGCAGCCCGACGTTCTGCACGTTCTTCCGCTGGCGCCACCGCCGGCTTAACATGTCCCACTGCGCGGGCGTGCACACGACCACGTCGCCCTTCTCCAGCAACCTTAAATCCGCGGCCGTCTCGCCCGTGAGCGCGACGATCTCCTTCCCGCCCTGCAATTTCCCAAACTTGGCTCGCCACTCGCTCACGCGCTGCTCGACCATCTCCGCGTACGGCTCGATGCACACCGCGCGCGGCTGCTCCTTCCTGCTCCACAGCCTCAGCAGCGCGAACTCCGCGCACACGGTCTTACCGGACCCCGTCGGCGCGCCCACGAACACGTTCTCGTCCGTCGTGTACAGCGCCTGGAACACCTGCGTCTGGATCTTATTGAACTGGCTCAGCCTCTCCTGATAAACCGCCTCGAACGCGGCGTTGTGCAGCGCGCTGAGCGGTAAGGGCTGCAGCTCGAGCAGCGGCGTCGGCGGCGGGAACTTTTCGGGCAGGATGAGGCCCTGGAAGGATATGGGCAGGCGGAACTCGCAGTTCAGCCAGGTGTTGGAGACGACGGAGACGTAGTAGTTCGGCGGGACGGGCTCGAACATCGGCACGGTTATGGTCAGCGTGTGCTCGTCCTCGGCGTAGCGCTGCCGCAGGACGAAGGTGTCGGCGAAGAGCACGATCTCGCCGTCGACGTCCTCGACGAGCACGTGGAAGGTCTGCGCGCCGGAGTGCACCTTTTCGTTCCAGCGGAAGTCGGGCTGGATGGAGAGCTCGATGCGGATGAGCGAGCGCGTGATGGGTTGCACTTGGGCGTTGAGGCTGTTGGGCGCTCATCAGCGCATTCCCTTTCTTCGACTGATGAAAATACTCACATGAGCTTCGGGAACTCATGCACGAGCCTATGCACAAGCCTCCCCGCCTGCGGCATCCCCAACAACTCCCCAATCTCAGGCGGACTCAGATCAAAGTACCTGTACCACGGCTGCACACCCGTCGTCAGCTCTTCCCCACATCTGTCTCACCGTAAACGAGGACTTACGAACTGCTTCCCCTCGGCCTTCCTGATAACGTCCTGCTGCAAGCCCTTGAACTGCCTGAGCGGCGTCATGCTGCTCCACATCCGCCGCTCGACCATCTTGCACATCTCGAGCGCGGCCCGCGCGGGGACCGCCCATCCGCGCTTCAGGCAGATCTCGAACATCGCGCGCAGGATCCTACACAACGCATGAGATTACTTATAGGCAGGGACGAAGAGGAAGGACGCACCGCCCCGCGCTCTGCTGCACGAACACCATATCCGCCACCAGCGCGAACCCCTCGAGCTTCAGCCCCGAGATATACGCCTGCAGCAGCACATTAATCTTCGCGACCCGATCGTCCACGCCCTCCTTAACCGGCACCGGCACGCGCTCAATCAACCGCCCCAGCTCCGCCTTCTCCTCCTGCCTAACGGGTATCAACTTGAACTCCTCACTTAAGGCAAAAACGCGGAACAATTCCAGTTGGGACATCGTGGGCCGGAGGTGCGTGTTGTAGACGGACATGGACGGGTGCGTGATGTAGTAGTGCGAGGCGATGCGGCCGAGCTCTGTTGATTGCAGCCGGCCGGTGGCGCGCTCGTATTTGAGGAGGTGCGCTTTTTCGAGGAGCGCGGCGGCGGTGTGGATGATGTCGGCGCGCTTTTGGATGAGGGCGGGGTCGCCCTCTGTATAGTCGGCGCCGACGGAGTAGAGCGCGGGGCTCTTGAGCATCCTCACATATCTACACACCAACCATTCATCAGCATCGTGATGAAGTGAAGTGAGAAGGGGAGAACGTACAAATAGGTGTACCCCAACCACTGCACCGCCTCGTCCCGATTCCTCACCGTCCCCAGCACAACCTCCGCATTCAGATTATCCGCCAAGCGCCCCACAAACTGGCTCTCAATGGGCAATTGCTGATTCAGCAAGCTCAAATAATACTGCAATTCCCCATGGTTCGTGATAATGATGCCCTCGCCGTACGTGTCGTACTGCGGTCTCCCGGCGCGTCCGAGCATCTGCAGCACGTCTTGGGGGGACAGCTCGGCCCAGCGGCCCTTGGACGGGTCGTAGATCTGCGTGCCCTTGATGATGACGGTGTGCGCGGGCAGGTTCACGCCCCACGCGAGCGTCGCGGTGCACACGAGCACCTGCACGCTTCCGTCCGCGAACAGATCCTCGACGAGCGCGCGGTCCTCGCGCGTCATCCCCGCGTGGTGTATCCCAAATCCAAACGGCAACAAATCTTTCAAGTTCGCGTCTTTCACGCCCTTCGCCTCGTCCGCCAATATCTCGCGCACGGCGCTCTCGGGCTTCACGAACTGGGATATCGTCTCCTTTTCTATCGCCTGGTCGCGGAGGAAGCGCGCGGTCTTTGCCGTCTCTTTCCGGCTGTGCACGAACACGAGCGTCTGGTTCTTGCCCGCCTGGTCCAGCACCTTCTCGTAGCACACCTCGTTCATCACCTGGTACCGCTTGATCGCCTTTTTTTCGGTGACGCCGACGAACTGCTGCTGCAAGGGACACGGGCGCGACGCGGCGTCGAAGTAGAACAGGCCGACTTTCGGCTCGACGCGCAGGAGCGTCGCGACGTCCTCGTAGTTCGGTAACGTCGCCGATAATCCCACAAGCCGGACGAGATCGCCCGTCTGCTCCATCCTTCGTATCGTGCGCGCGATGATGGCCTCGAGCACCGGCCCGCGCTCGTCGTGCAGCAGATGAATCTCGTCGATGATCAGCAGCCGCACCAGATTCGTGTAGCTCGTGTCGCTCGACTTCCTCGTGATGACGTCCCACTTCTCCGGCGTCGTCACGATGATCTGCGTCTGCGCGATCTGCTCCTTGGTCATCTGCGCGTCGCCGGTGAGCTCGCCGACCTTGATGCCGAAGACGGACAGGCGCTGCGAGAAGTTGCCGACCATCTCTTGCACGAGGGCTTTCATGGGCGCGACGTAGACGATCTTGAAGGCGTCGAGGTCGTAGGTGCCTGTCGCTTCGTCGCGGTGCTTGCCGAGCTCGTTGAGGATCGTGAGCATGGCGACGTTCGTCTGTACGATACCATTAGTACACAAAGTAGACTGAAATATGAAGGATATACCTTTCCCGCACCCGTAGGAGCACAAAGCAAGATGGGGTGGTCCGTGCCAAACGCGACAGGGTACAGCTTGGACTGGACCGGGTTGAGCGACTTGATGCTCGGGAACCCGGCCTGCGCCCACTGCGGCAGCGACGCAATGGGCACGAGATCGCCCGCGGGCGTCTCCCTCTTCTTCGGCGCGGGCACGTGCACCTCCTCGTAGCCCTTCCTGGAGCGCTTGAAGGAGCCCTCGGGGAGCTGGACGCGCTTGTTGGACATGAGGTGGCCGCCCTGGGAGAAGGCCATGGCCTCGAGGTCGACCGTCTTCTTGGGCTGGACGACGGAGCCCGGCGCGAGCGTCGCCGTCGTGGGCACGGGCGCGGGCGCAGAGTCCACGTCCATGGCGTCCGCTGCGTCTTTGGACTTGGACGGGGCGTCGCCTGCGAGGTCGCGGAGGATCCAGCCGAGGGAGCGCTCGCGCATGGCGACCTGGACGTTCACGCGCTCGTTCTCGTCTGCGCGGGCGAGCTTGGTGCACCACACCACGACGTCGCGGTTCTTGAGCAGCCGCGTGATCAGGCCGTGGCTCGAATAATCGAATAACTCCATGAGCGCGTTCTCGCAGTCGCGCAGGCTGCTCTCAGACCCGAGCAGCTCCAGCACTTGGGCGGCCTTGTCCGCGGCGGTGACCGGGTCCGGGTAGATCTCCGCCACCTGGCGCTGGACCCAGAAGCCGTCCACGCTCCGGGGCGACACCTTGTCCTTCGCACCCCGCCCGCCCGCGTCCCCCGCGCCGCCCAGATGGACGTCCTCGTCCTCGGCCTCGGCTGCCGGCCCGGGCTCTGCTTGGTCCTGCTCGCCGCCGTCCTCCTCGTCCGAGTCGTCGTCCCTGACCTCGAAGCCCTCCTCCTCCTCGCTCTCCTCCTCCTCCTCGTCAAACACAACAGCCACCCCCATCTCGTCGTCAATCTCGCCGTCCCGCCGCTCGGCGTCCGGGTCCGCCGCCGCCTCGTCCTCCGCGCCATAGTCGGTGATCTTCTTCGACAAACCAATAAGCTGCGCAAAGTCCTCGGCCTTGACGGGGCCCAGGACGTCCTCGACGGCCTTCTTCTTGTCGAAATCCTTCATGGACTCGTCCTTGAGGGCCTCGAGGACCATGTCCGCCGCGCTCCGCACCACGTCCGCGGCCTGGTCCCCCAGCGACCGGTGCACCGCGCCCAGCATCAGCTCGTACACCTCCCGCGTCTCCGCAGTCCGCGGCCGGTACGTCAGCCCCTCGACGTCCGCCGTGCTCTCCAATATATCCGCGAACCCGAACCCCGCCGCGTCGCGCCGCTTGCTGCTCGCCGACGCCCGCGGCTGCCCGTCCTCGGCCGCGCGCTTCTTCTTCTTCGCCATGTCCGCCGGTGCTTCGCGTTTGACGCGCGACCCCATCTCGCCCGGCTGGATCCGGCCTACTAAGGACGTCGGCGCGCCGTCGGGCTCGCGGTCGCGTCGCGGCAGCGCGGACCGGTCGGCCGTCAGCACGAGCGACGAGATGGCACCGTACGAGTACCCGGACAGGTCCGGCTTTCCTGGCGGGCGGCCTGACATCGTTGGTGTGTTTGGTGGGGGTGGGAGGCAAGAGCCGTGCTGGCTTCGACCCAAAGACGCGCGCGCGTCGTCGATTCAGCGCGTCGTGACACGCGCGTCACGCTGCGGCTCCGATAACATTTTCTCGCTTGCTCCCGCCGTCCGTGGCAGGCGCATACATACAGTCGTACCCTTCGTAACCGCAGCTTCAGTGTTACAGCCCACCTTGAGCTCTCCCGTCTCTGCTCTGTTGCGAACCCATGGCTCGCTCGTATATAGCATTCACGACTCTCCTTCTGTCTCCCCGTCCTCCCTTACGCGAGGCTCGCAGCACCACTTCAACTTTCGTCCCACCCACCGTCCCTCCACATCATCTTATTCTATTTACCCCCTCATCTTTTCAGCCATATATAATCTAAGCTACACATCAGTCCGCTACGAGTACTTGGGCGTGGCGTCCGTTCCCTCCGCCTGCGCCGTTCGTCCTTTCACCGCGTGGGCGGCCTCATCATCTTCTCGCTCGAGCACCGCAGTCCGACTCATCCCCTTGCCCCGCGCGCGAGCACCTCCTCACTGACGCGGTCTCCTCTTACGACAACGAGCACCACTGGCGGTCGAGTAGCTACAGTCTTATGCGCAATAAAATGGCGGTATAGTTCTAGAACACATCACGTACCGCAAACTCTCGAACTCGAGATCAGAATGGGTGTCGAGCCCGATAGCTTTCCAGACACCCGCTCCGGCACGATAGAAACGGGCGTGGCATAGGCGCCAATGTCCGGATGCACGCCCCCGAATTCCCGTCGGTAAGCAACCCAAACGCGCACGCGCCCGTCGACGATCACAGCGCCCAGATCGCCCGCAGTGTCACAACGTGGCTCCGACAACATGTTCCCACTTCCGATGACCTTCTCCCGCCGTTCACAGCCAGCGCAGGAGAAAGGAAAGCCTACCTCATGATCTATACATAAACATCGGGACGCGATGTACCGAATAGATCAGGCGGTGTGCTTTCGTGCAGCCAGGCCAAAGTCGAGTTGTGCGGCATGGTCACGAGCGCAGACTTATCATTGAGATGACTATGGACGTACAGTGTACACTTAGCAAGTGTATGTATACAGCGCACGGACACCACACAGCTCCGCAGATCCCAAACCATTCAGTCATGATCAGGCGACCTGTGCTCGTAGTCCCAAAGCGCGCATCCGTTCCAATACAAAGAAAACAGGCGTCGCATACGCAATCTCTCCCCCCATCTTCCAGTTCCCGACAACAACCAACCCTCCACCAATAACCAGCCCCCCAACACGTCCTCGTCCATCCACAACGACCGCGCCAGAGTCCCCACCCCTCGCGAACTCATACCTCTCGCCGACACCACCACGACCAACGATGGCCCACTCCTTCGAGGCCCGGCCGAGCGTCTTGCCGTCACCCCGTACGCGGCGGACGTACGAGAAGATCGGGTTCGCCCGCCCGACAGTCAGACCCGACGCCGCGCCGCGCTTGAGGACCGTGCGACACAGCTCCCCGTTCTCGTCGAGCGACGTCGGATGACGCATGCCTTCGTCCGTGATCGTGCCGCCCAGCCGCAGAAGATTGTCGAAAAGGCTATACTCGAAACACTTGGGATGCGCCACGTCGGACTCGCGTGGGTGCATCTGCTCCGCGATTTTAATGGGCCACGCCGCATTATCGAACAACCCCGTCTGCAGCACGAGCGCGTTGCGTCGATAGTTCGCCGCGCCGATCACGGACGGGAACACCTCGATCACGGCCCAGTCTTCCGTGTATCCCTGCCGCCCGACGTTATACCCGACGGGCGGGGAAAGCACGACGCGCCCGAGCACGCGATCGCCCTCGCCGAACCGCTCTACGAATTGAGAGATAACATCGAGCTCCGAGATCATCCTGCGCGCCTCGTTCACGTAGAACCTGGCGTGTATCGTGGCGCGCGTCGCGTACTGGTCTGTGCGCCCTTCCAGACGACTGATGGTGCACGACTGAAAACCGACGATGTCGTGATACTCCTGGATCTCCGCCTGTATGAACTCGCGGTACCGTACGAAGGCGTCGTCCGCGAAAAGTTGGACCAGAAATGGCGAGTGCTCAGAGCCTTCCGTGTACCTGTACAGCGTATCGTCGTCTGTTTCAGGCGGGAAAATGGCATGGCGGGCGGTAACGAGAAGGATCCTCCCTGGATCATCGAGGTCGGTAACGAAGAAACCGCCTGTGCCTTGATGAGACGAGCTCTTGAAAGCGCTGATCGGGAAATTGGGTGATGTCGTAAAAGGATCCCAAAGAACAGACGCGCCCAACGCATAGCTTGTGCTGTCGAGCGTGGGAAGCTTGGGAACGGGACCGACAGCCAGCGGGACGACCACAGACTCGCGCATCTCGACTTCGACATCGGCGATATTGTGCGCATGGAGAATGTCGAGGCATTGCATGACTATGGCGCGTCCGTCGGGCGCGGAGACGCTATTGGGCAGGATGCCGATCCAGAGAATAACAGGGGCGTTGGCCTCCGAGTCGTCGGTATATCCGATGCGCACGACGTCGAGGCTTGTCCACTGCACGTTCTTTTCGTCGATTAGAGTTTGTATCTTTGGTGCGATACGATCTTCCCAATGGAGGTGAAGTAGCGGATGAGCACCGAGAGGGGCAACCTTCTTTTCCCTCATGCGGTGGCGCATGTCGCCCGGATGCTCCCACACGGCAGTGCTCGTCCGGGCGACAAGGATGGGTCTTGAAGGCAGCCCGTAGTAGTGCAGTCGCCCCTCTTCCGGTGACACGACTGCGGGTAGGGGAATGCTCATGATTGCAAGAGGTGAACGCGAGCCCAGTGAAGGGGCGAGATGGGGGATTGCGGTCGAGGTAGCCGAAGGATTGGTCACGGCAGTCAAGAACGTCCCTGAGGAGAAGTTAGATGTTGCTTGACTACATATAGGTTGAGGGTGAGACTCGGAACTTACTCGAGAAGGCTCCCGCTCGGAACTAGATACTACACTGCGACGGTGCTGTTCAGTGAGCCTGTAGAGGACCGGAGCGCAGGCACGCTCGTTCGTGAGCACAGAGAACGTATGCCACGGTCTGTCCAGAGGCTTTTTGCGCTCATAATGAACCAGCGAAGTAGTCAAGCCATAGCAGAATAGATACCAGGTAGACTAGGACGATGTAGCCCTCGTTCAAGTCGTTGCATGCGACGATCAAGGTGAGACATACGTTCGTATGTGCGGCATAGTTAGTATAGCTAGCATATGTGCAATTAACTTCCCTCTGCCCAATCGTCGAGTGGGGAGGTGGAGGCGTGAGGCAAGTGCCGGTCTGGCTCGGTGCGCGCGACTTCGGAGGATTCGGGCCGACTAACCCGCCTCCCCCGCCGCGCGTTGGACTCCGGAGGAACTTGGCAGAGCTCACCATCATCGCTCACACAAAGAAATACAATCTCTACTCTGCCTGCCTTGAAATCAACTGTAGCGAAATATATCGCGCGCTGCTATGTTACACTGAGAGCCCTCCGTCTACCACGGTCAATCGCACGAACGTTCGGCGGTCTTGCGATGTCAGCTGTTCGGCGCAGTCTGCTGGCGCCGCAGAACTTGGCCACCTTCGACGGGGCCACACTATCATACACCCTTTCCGGCGCAAGTCGCTTAACCCGGAAGACAGGAGCCTGGTCAAGCTTTCCTTAATGGAGCGTTCAAGGGTCACTGACAAAGTTCGACATTCTGTCAACTAGACGCAAGTCGATAACGCGCCCTCCCTCATCATCTCTCGTTACGCGGCACGTCTTCCGTTCGCAACCCCACACTCCGAATACAGGTCATGTTGCTCTAGCGTAAATATTAATGGAGGCTTCTCCGTTATGTACCCTCGGCGATACTCAGTCGAGGTGGCGAATGTCCTTTGCAACCGTCCTCGGATGTGAAGGTAGAGCCTGCCCCGGTCAGTTCTCACCTCGCCGTGAAATCAAACTTTCACGCCGCTTTACGCCTTGCCCTGCCGTCACCGAACGTTTTGGACCAGCCTAGCAGCCAGGAGGCTAAGCTCTCTGTGTCTTGCGCGTTCTCTCTCCACTTATCAAATGCCCCTTCTCCTTTCAAGGTGATATCAGCAACGTTATAGTTCTGTCCGGTATGCAACGAGCGACGCCGCTGCAAGAGGGACATCGGTAAGTATGACATCGGCGGCCTATATGGCGTGGGTTTCTGTCTATTAGTCGCCACTATCACCATCGAGGGCTTGGGAGGGACCCTTCGTGGCTACTCATGTGTGCTAGCGGGTGAAATCTGATCTTCATGGACATGCATCTACCATTTGGATACCGCAGATGAACTGCCTCCCGCAGTGGTGACGTAGGTCACGGACTTCTCCGGCAGACATATAATAGCGCCTTATCGAGCCGCGACACTCACCGAATTAACCTGACCAAATCACCGATTAGACTATGGCTATGGCCTTCTCGATCCTCAGCTTTGCCTTCGCGCCGGCTTTGTTGGTCGTGGCCTTTCTCTTGGTCAATATCGTACGGGGCATCCTATCTCGCCTCTCGAGAAATGCTGTTCTGCGCCAGATCGACGGCCCAAGAAACGCGTCCTTTCTAGCTGGCAATCTCCAGGACCTGTACGGTCTTCAAGGGCTGTCTTACCTCAATGCGCTCTCCACATATGGAAGGATTGTCAAGCTTCATGGCTTGTTCGGTGTACGTACTTTCTGCGATAGAGGATCGCTGCATGCTGATCGGTAGTCATCGTGTGTAGGACACACTCCTTGCCGTGTCCGACCCTCATGTACTCTCGCAGATCCTCATCAACCAAGTACAAGACTTCCCCGCCATCGATATATCCGGCAGTCTAGAGTCAGAACCCACTACCTGCACGCGATAACACTCCGAACTGATCGTGTATACAGCGCCCACACGTATTTCACGGGTCTCGGGCTCCTCTCGACGAATGGTCCAGAACACCGTCGCCAGCGCAAGCTCCTCAACCCTGTCTTCTCCCATGCACATATGCGCAATATCGCCCCCCTCATGCGCAATATAGCTTCGCAGCTGAAGAGCTTGATTGCCCGTCGGATTGATGACGTTGCTAAGAACGGTAAAGAGCACATACGCGAGTTAGACTGCGCAGATATCTTGGGACGTGCGGCGCTGGAGTTTGTCGCCCAGTGCGGCTTCGGCCATACCTTCCATGCAATGGAAGGAGATGCGAACAAGTATGTATCTGCCATCAAGGACCTCGTGTGAGTTTCAGCTATACATCAGCTGCTCCATTCTGTCTATTGACGAGGCGACCATATCGCACAGACCGACTTTGGCGGCCTTAGGCGCGCTCCCTCAAGTCTTCGTTCTGAGCGGCGCTGCACGCCTGCCCCCGCGATTGCTTCGCCTGCTTGGGAACATGGCATCGTTCGTATCCCCAACGATCCGACGCATGATGCAGCTCAGAGATATCATGCATGACGAGATGCACGATGCTTGGAAAGCGCGGAAGCTCGTGCAAGGAGGCGAGCAGAATGAAGTGTTAGGGATACTCCGTGAGCAGTTCTCAGTACTATTCTCATAAACATCAGCGTCTGAATTTGACTTTCAGTCGAGGCCAACGAGAATGGGCAGGTATCTGATGAGGATATGTCGGCCCAGGTGATTGTCCTCAGCGCTCAGAGCCCGCTCAATCCCTCACGTCGTATACTATCCTAGGCTTTGACTTTGTTATCTGCTGGCGCAGAGACAACCAGCACCACATTATGCCGCATCCTGCACCTTCTGGCGCTGCATCCAACTATGCAAGACAATCTTTGTCGGGAGGTATTGCAGGCACTTTCCGTCTCCGACGGCGATGGCACGCTGGACTATGACACACTCATGGCCTTACCCCTTCTGGATGCGGTATGCAAGGAGACCCTCCGCGTATTTGCGCCGACAGCCGTGCGTCATCGAAGGTCAGGCAATGGGTTCTACTACCGAATGAGCAACGGAAACTCAATCTCTGATCCGGTATATGCAGGTGTATCAAAGAGAGCGTCTTGTCGACCTCTGACGGATCGAGTCTGCATATTCCAGCCGGAACCGAGATATTGGTGAATGTGCATGCAATGAACATTGACGCAGGGATATGGGGTCCCGATGCAAGCGTGTGGCGACCCGAACGGTGGCTAGAACAGCATGCATGCAGTGATGTGAATACGCCGGGCGTGTATGCAAATATGTAAGTCCCCTCAACCCATACTGACTGCATCATTGAGCTCCCTCTTATATGTCAGGTTGTCATTCATGGCGGGTCCAAAGTCCTGCGTGTGAGCCTCTCGCCTTCGCTGCTGAGACATTGCTGATACATAGAATAGAGGGATGAACTTCGCTATTCTGGAGATGAGTACGTACTTGCGTCCTCTCTACGCGATTCCCACATAATCTAACGTACACTAGAGATCACCCTCGCGACTTTACTCCCGTCCTTTCGATTCAAACTGCCCGCGCCGGATGTTGAAATCGAGTGGCGGCTCGGGGTCACAGTCACGCCCAGCGTGAAAGGCTACAAGGGCTTGGACCCAAGGATGCCGCTCCTCGTGGGGATCATATAGATAAGATGAAATGCGTTGTACATGTACTTATATTACCAGGTCCTCTTGCGATAGAACCCTTGAAGCGGTGTAAGAGTCCGCAGTCAAGGAACTCACATGATCGCGACGTGGGGAAGTCTATACGGAAAGGTTGCGCTTTGATGGAACTTGCCACCGTCGTCCATGCTGCAAGCACTCCCCAATCCTTTGTATGACAGGATTGAGAGAAGAGCATCCTGGAACATCGCCATCCAGCACTGACGTATATCGCGTATTGCGCGTCCGGAGGAGTTTCCACTGTCATGTAGATGTTCTATCCCTACTTCGATTGACATGCCCACCGGGCGCTGTTTTACCGGGCTACCTGGCCTCTCGTGAGCTCGGGATCTGCTCCGAATCTGGCATGCAGACCGCCGCAGTGAGCCTCGGCGACGCGATGCGACGTAGCAGACACATGCCTCGCGGCGGCCTCTAGCTGTCAATATATCCTTCAAGTTCGCGGATCCTCCTTCGGATCGGTGCGCCCCAAAGTGCGATCCAGCGAGTCTGTATTACTACGATGTGAGTGCTCTTCACCGCGGCTTGCGGGTTAAGGCCATTGGATCTACCTCGTTGACTTCATTCCCAGTGTCTCGTCTTGGTCTTGTCCTCCATCCAGAGTTCCTACCATGCGCGCGAGCTGGGCGGGCCGCCGAGAAGTCTTGCCGCAGCACGGTACTCGAGCAAGCAGAAGCAAGCACTGCATGTACAACATCGGGTACAATCGGGATTCGGGAAACGCAACTTGAACTGAGAAAGTGTGCCTGGGCCTTATCTGATAACTGCGCTCGACACTGATCAGTCGTTAGTTTTGTTCGTGCGGGCGGCGCGTACCATCTCATCCGATCAGCGGCCTTCCTCGCTTCAGCTGGCATCTCTTCTGTGAATCGTGTATGCACATGAGCACATTTATCTGATAGAGAAGCCCAGCGAGCGGCTATTTCGAGGTATCGCTGTCTCTTTGAAGGCTTAACATCTGAACCCTCGACCGTGTCGCATGCCCATCTCCGCTAGTAAACTTGTCCTCGCCCGTCTGCGCGGGTCCTCGCTGCCCCACGTACCTCCATATCCGAAATCTTCACTCGAGGCACGAACCGGCTCTGTCGGTCCCGCCCATGGGGCCAGATTAGATCTCCCAATATCTGATATGCAAAGCTTGTTCCGTACCTTTGCGCCGGACTCTGTCAGGAACCTCGTGCTCTTACCTCCTGCATATAAGAGAGGGCGGCGGTATTGCACTGATGTTCAGCTGCCCCGTCTGCTCCATCTCAGCCTGCGTTCTCGGTGCGCATTCTCTTCCGATCTTGTTGTTCGGCGCCGGCTTACCTTCCTTGCAGCATCACCGCTGAGTGCTGATCAGTCTCGCTCAAGGGTTCTGTTCAAGGTATACTATTCCTTGCATACCACGTAGACCTCGGGCCTTACCCTCTGCGATGTAGCCTACGAGATGTCCCACCACTCTTACGACGAGAAGGACAACGCCTCCGACAGGGATGTCAAAGAGCCCGTCCCCGACGTCCCGGTTCTCCTGACGGAAGACCAGTTTGGTGACAAGTATGTCCAGTCTCGTGGCGTCAGCAAGATTGAGGCGCTTCGTGCTGCCGCGAAGACGTCTACTGCGGGTCAGCGCATGCTCTGGATCATCGGGTCATGCGTGTGGATTGCCGCGTTTGCGTACGCACTCCAGTCCAGTACGAGGTGAGTTGGCTGCTATATGGTACCGAGCTTGTCACTTAAGTGTCACCAGCTACAACTACTCCGTCTGGGCCACGTCCAGCTTCAAGAATCACTCGGCCGGCCTGTCCGCGCTCAACGTTGCCACATCCATCATCGGCTCCGTGAGCAAGCCTTTCCTGGCCAAATTCGCCGACATCTGGGGACGTACCGCAACGTATCTGCTCGGCACGATCTTCTACGTTATGGGCTACGTGAGTTGCCGCGTCTTCTCCGCCTTACCGACAACGCGTGTCTAAGCCAGCCTCAACCCACAGGTCATCATCTCGCAATCTCCCTCGCTTGCCTCGTACATTGTAGGCAATGTCTTCGCGAAGCTCGGTGGAACGGCCGTATCTTTCATGAACTCCGTCGTCGTCGCGGACTTGACCGATCTTCAATGGCGTGGCTTCTTCACCTCGCTACTCTCGGTGCCCTATCTGATCACGCCTTGGTTCACCGCGGACATCGTCGCCCAACTTGGAACCAAGAACAACTGGCGTACGTCTTTCCACAGTACATATACTCTTGTCTGACATGAATGCATAACGCAGGCTGGGGCTACGGTATGTACGCGATCATTCGTGAGTCCTGTTCTCTCTATCTCATTAAGATCTTCATACTCACATCTTCCTGATAGTGCCCGTCTGCACTCTGCCGGTCATCTGCGCGCTCTTCTGGCTCAGCTTGCGCGCAAAGAAGATGGGCATCCATTCCGCTGCTGATGCCAGTGCTGCGGCTGAGGGTGGTAAGGAGAAGTCGCCGGAGAAGCCGGTCGTTCCGTTCTGGCAGCGCACCAAGGAGATTCTCATCGAACTCGACGCATTTGGACTTCTCCTGCTGGGCTTCGGCTGGTCGCTCTTCTTGCTTCCGTTCTCGCTCGAGGGTTCTGCGAAGGGTCATTGGAACAACCCGTCCATGATCGCCATGAGTGAGCCACTCTTTGACCCTGAACTCAGTGTAGATGCTGACGCCTGCACCTTTGCGCAGTGGTTGTCGGAATCTTGTGCCTCATCGCCTACGTTCTCTTTGAGAAGTTCGTCTCGCCGATGCCGAGCTTCCCCCGTCGCATCCTTGTCAACAAGACCTTCATGAGTGCGTCTTCCGTCCATCGTTTCTTTCCCGCGCTCATCAAGAATGATATGATCCAGTGTGCATCGTCATCGATTTCATGTACGAGTTCGCGGGCTACCTCAAGCTCACGTACCTGAGCTCGTACACCTACATCGTCTCCAACTGGACCCTGCAAGGCTGGACGTACTACAGCAACACTCTCACGCTCGCGCTCTGCTCCTTCGGTGTCGTCGCCGGTGCTCTACAGCGCTACACACACAGATACAAGCCCCTCCAGGTCATGGGCCTCTGCATCAAGATCATCGGCCAGGGCCTCGCGATCTCACCTAGCGGCCAGACCGCGACGACCAGCACGGCACTGCTTGCCGCCAGCTCCGTTCTCACCGGCATGGGCGGCGCCTTCTCCGTCGTCGGCTCCGAGACGGCTTCTCAGGCGTCGGTGCCGCATCAGGACATGACCCTCGTCATGGCGCTTCTTTCGCTGTGGTCGAGCGTCGGCGCCTCGATCGGTTCTGCCATTGCTGCCGTCGTTTGGGCAGAGTGGATGCCGCGCAACCTGCGCACGTACCTTCCCGCGTCCGTTAACGACACGATGGTATGTCTTTCTCTACATGCACCCATGATTGAGACTGACGTGTCTGCGCTTATCAGGTACAAAAGTACTACAAGGACATCACGCTCATCCGCGACTTCGACTATGACGACCCCGTCCGTCAAGGCGCGATCGAAGCCTACCGCCACACCCTCTGGAAGCTCTTCGTCCCCTCTCTCTGCCTGTCCTTCATCTCGCTCTTCGCCGCATGCTACCAGACCAACTTCTTCCTCGGGAAGCAGCACAACGCGGTCACGAACATCGGGCCGGATGGCAAGCCGCTCCCAAATGAGCAAGAAGAGAAGAAGAAGGATCTGACGGGTATGAGTCTGCCGCGGAAGGGCTTGTACTACCTGTTCGGTGTTTAGATATTGATCTAGAGGGTATAATGTGTTGGGTGTTCTTATAATCATGATATAATCACGCTTCTCTACGGGATTGCTGCGGAGCGTCAGGGTACTAGGTAAAGGTAACGTCATGGCATAGCGATACAGTAGTGTCTGTCAGTTCGTGTATGAAGGGTCCGTATGGATACATCGTCAAGGTATACATCAGAGGCAAAGCGTAACAGTCCAGAGAAGTGTTCGTGAAGGTCATGTCCCAAAACGTGATGTCCGTGCAGTCCCGACGTTCAAGCATCTACTCGTACACCTTCAACCACATGATGTTGAAGTAGGCGTTGTTCATCGCAGCAGGATTGTTCCTCACAAAGTCTGTGCTCTGCATCAGCTGAGTCGAAGTCAGACGTAGTGAAGACACGCACCGCTGCATGTGCCAGGGCAACCCGATGACGCATACGAGTTGGCAGCGAGATCCCCGCCTGTGCATAGAGCGTATCAAATCCTAGGTTACACAAGCCAGTCACTGGGAGGACCCACAGAAGTTCAGGTTGATCATGATATTGTTGTTCGAGAAGTGGCTCCCGATGTTGCACTGCGCGTTGGAAAAGAACGCCTGCGGCTTGCCCCAGTTATTGGTGTTGATTGTGTTCGAGCCGTGCAGAACGTCGCTTGGGATGTTGTTCGCATTGCGAGCCCAGAACCTAGGATCCAGATGTAGCGTTCTTACGCAAACGCCTGTCGTGCAACTGCTTACCAGATCTTGACTTCGGTACTCGAACGCTCGCTCGCGAAGAAGCCTCCCTGGTTGAGATTGAAGCTATGCCCGTAGCTGTTTGCCGCCGAGAACTTGATCCCGCACCCGATATTGTTGTTCACATTGTCCGAGCTATCGCAGTCGGAAGCGATGACGGAGCTGCACAAGTCATACTTCAACATGACAGCGCCGCAAAGCACGAGAGAGTGTATCAACGCACCCCGAGAAATCGCCCGAGTTCGGAATGGAGCATCCCGAGCCGGTGTGAAGCGTCGCCTGGTTGGGCTCTGTAGGGAACCGGTGAGAAGTGCTGCGGAGAAGTCTAACCTCAAGCGGTTCGCCTTACCCTGCATTGGAGAAAATAGAAGCAGTCAGTCGTCAATAGACCCCGCGGCGCCACACACAAGCCGAGGAGATGCACTCACGATATCGTTCGAGCCTATCCGCTCAGGTAAGTCAACTCCAGACCCGATACGCCCGAGTAATGGAGTGTCTGAGGGGAGATGAGAAAAGCGCACCTTCCACGATGTCGACCTGGTTACCGTGCTCCGTCAGTACAGCCTCCTTGTAGGGGGCAAGTGGAGACTCACTTCTCCGTCGAACGGCCATGACGGGCCAACCTATTGGAGCTGACCTCAAACCTGTGTTGTCTGTGCGAGGGTCGGGCTGCGTACCTCCCAGATCGCGGGCCATGTACCACATCCCTTGGGCATGTGCGCGAGATTGACTCTGAAGATTGTTCAACGAGTGCCAACGCCATCATCAATGAGAAGACACGTACACAGTAACATGCGAGTTGTAGGTATGCGGTGACTGGATGCGGACAGAGTTCCTCCCCGATGAGCTCGAGCTGACAACGTTTGTGTCGTCTGCTCGAAGCGTGAAGTTGCTGCCCGACGCGAAGACAAGGCCTTGGGAGATGGCTGTCGACTTGCTGACATAGTTACTGGAAAGGTCTGCATCAGCACATAGTGTACAAAGATAGCCTAGTTAGGACGCACACAGTGCCGTGATTGGGATCGTCGATGGCTTCAAAATTCCAGTCGTTAATGAAATCCTCGCCCTCGTAGCTATCCGAGAGGCCGAACGTTCCAGCAAGCGCAGCGTGGGCAAAGGGAACAAGAAAGAGAGGAGAGAACTTCATCGTACTAGACTGTGGGTGCGCTTGAGCGGTCGTGGGGTATCGAGAAGCGGTACTGGCGCTTTTTATGCCGGTGTCGGACGCTGTAAGTAGACGGGAGGAGGCGCTGCGGCAGCCTCGAGGTATCGATGGAGCAGGTAACCACGAGCATTTGACTTCGCAGATGAGCATGGACGCGGGAGTCTTTGTCCTCTTCGAGCGGCCTCAAACGCAGCTGGTCAACGGGCACTGTTGTTCGAGGTCCACCTCCGGATGGTCGACTTCGAGAAGGCGTATACACGAGTAGACCGTGCATGGAAAGGAGTAGGTAAGCATGCTCGAAGAAGTAACTAGCATGAGAGCCAATGATAGCCTGTGTAGGCCGGCTTTCCTGAACGAGGTAGACGAGGGAGTGGCAGCCAGCGGCGACCGTTTCCATTGCCCGAATGTCGCCAAAGATTCGAGCGGCATTGTACATTGCTGGTACTCCGTAGTAACTCCTTCTGCGGCATATGGTCCGGTTGGAGATGGTGAGGAGAGCAGGCGGCCCAAGTGACGCAAGAGGGTGAATCATCACCACCAGAGCGAGAAAGCGACCGACGAATGCGCGCATTAGTATTAACTTCAGAGGACGCAAATCAGCGCATGTATGGTTCCTCGGGTACATCGGTGTGCGCACAGATGATCCGGCTATACGGGTCTCAAAGGAGCACCGTGCAGAAACGATGCGTACTCAGGAATGCCAGTAGCTGCCCGTCCGCAAGATACAGGGAGCGCATATCCGCGTGCCACGTAGTAATCTGTAGTAATGCAATATAGTGCACGAGATTCATAGGCACGAAGTTGACCATGGTAGTTGCAGATAAGGTGCACGACGCGGCGCGAGACGACGCGCAAAACGCCATCGCGTAGCCTCCGTAAAGGCGGCCATATTCGTGCTGAGCACTGCGAAGGTGCAACGCACCTCACCTCTCGACTCCCATGTTCTGCATGCTGGGGCTCTACGCCGAAGCAACTAACTTTTTGTCCATGACCTGCTCGCTGAACGCGCTCAGAGCTTCTGTGCGCTCGGGAACCGGCCCGTTCGCTCCGTTCGGCCCACCTACGCGCCGCTTTCCTCCTTTTTCCTCCACGGGCACCCGTACACTCGAGAGTGCGCGCGTTTCCAGTCAGCACTTTGCGCAACCTCTGGAGACTGTGTATCAGGCTACAAGTGTTCGGGAAGATAGGATAGTCTATAACTTCGTGCATGTAAGAGTATGTACGGATACGTCGAGATATACGCGAGGTCTAGTCGTAAGAGTACCAAGGACAGTGCATGATGGGTCAGATCCCGAAACATCGTGTCTATGGGGCTAGAGTCAAAGATACCTCTACTCGTAGACCTTGAGCCACATGATGTTGAAGTAGGCGTTATTCATCGCCGCCGGGTTGTTCCTCACGAAGTCTGCGCTCTACGTCAGTTCCGAGGCAGCGCCAACTGCAGAGCAGACGCTCACTGTCGCAAGTACCAGGGCAACCCGATGCCGCATACGTGTTAGCTGCCAGATCTCCGCCTGTTCATCGAGCGCGTCAGATCCCAGATCCCGCAGATCATTCGCGAGGAGGACCTACAGAAGTTCAAGTTGATTATGATGTTGTTGTTCGAGAAGTGGCTTCCGATGTCGCATTGCGTGTCAGGGAAGAACGCCTGCGGTTTGCCCCAGTTGTCGGTGTCGATCGTGTTCGAGCCTTGTAGCACGTCGCTTGGGATGTTGTTCGCGTTGCGAGCCCAGAACCTTGGTACTTCAATCAGCGCTCACTGTGTGCCAACGCAACAAAGACATGGTGATACTCACCACACCTTTACTTCTGTAGTTGAGCGCTCGCTCGCGAAGAAGCCTCCCTGGTTGAGGTTGAAGTCATGCCCGTAGCTATTTGGCGCTGAGAACTTGATAGCACACCCAATGTTATTGTTTACGTCGTTCGAGCTATCGCAGTCGGTCGTGATGACGGAACTACACGGGTCATGAGCAAACAGCGCGACACCGACCGATACAAGAACGTATTGCGTACCCCGAGAAATCACCCGAGGTCGGGATGGTGCATCCGGGGCCAGTGTGAAGTGTCGCCTGGTTGGGTTCTGTAGGGCGTATGTGAGAAGCACAGCCACGAGGTCTAACTTCAAACGGTTCCCTTTACCCTGCATTGGAGAGACAGAAGCAGCCGGTTATCAAGAGACTCCGCGGCATCACATGTGTGCCGAGGAGATGTACTTACGATATCGTTCGAGCCTATCCGCTCGGTGAGTTACAGTCCAGACCCGGCGCATCCGAGACAGGGAGTGGCTGAGAAAGGGATGAAGAGCGCGCACCTTCCACGATGTCGACCTATTTACCATGCCCCGTCAGTGTAGCCTCGTGAAAGGATGTTGGTGACTTACTTCTCCGTCGAACGGCCATGACGGGCCTACCTGTTGGGCTACCTGCAGTTTCAGTTGCGTATGCGAGCGCCGGATGGCACACCTCCCAGATCGCGGGCCAGGTACCGCATCCCTTGGGCATATGTTCGAGGTTGATGCTGTGTGCGGTGGTTGAGCACGGGCTAGCACGATCCTCCGAATGGTACACATACACCGTGACATGCGAGTTGTAAGCGTGAGGAGACTGGATTCTGACCGAACTCCTGCCCGATGAGCTCGTGCTCACGACGTTCGTGTCGTCTGCACGGAGCGTGAAGTTGCTACCTGAAGAGAAGACAAGACCTTGCGAGATAGCCGTTGACTGGCTCACATAGTTGCTAGAGTGTCTATGTCAGACTTCGATGCGCAGAGTGGTAGCACTAGGACGTACACGGTGCCATGATTGGGATCGTCGATCGCCATGCAGTTCCAGTCGTTAATGAAGTCCTCGCCCTCGTAAGAATCTGAGATGCCGAACGTTCCAGCAAGTACAGCGTGGACAAAGGAAGCGAGAGAGAAGAGAGAGAGGTTCATTGTGGAGTGTGGGTGTGCTTGTGTGGCAGTGGGGCGTCTCGAACCTGGTGCTGGTGCTTTTATGTAGCTGTCGGATACCATAGGTAGACAGAGGAACCGCCGCGCCAGCCTCGAGTTATCGGTGGAACAGGTAACCGCGAGTATACAACTTCTCAGATGAGCAAGCATGAGGGAGTCTTTGTCCTCTTCAAGCGGGCTCAAACGCGGCGGGTCGGGGGTACTGTTCTTCGGGATCTACTTGCGGGTGGCCGACTTCTGGACGTCGTACACGAGTAGAGCGTGCATGGTGGAAAGCATGTAAGCATGCTCAACGGAGAAACTATGTCAGTCAACGACTGATTGTGTGGACCAGCTTTCCAAACTAAGGTAAACCAGGGAACGGCAGCCGGCGGTAACTGTGAGACTTGAGGGAGAGGCGTAAGATGAATATTGTGCGTGGTCGGTAGGTCTTCCATGGTGGTTTCTATGCTGGCAAGTGACCTGGTTGGAGATGATGAGGAGTGCAACTTATAAAGGTCTGTTAGGCAACTCGATCTTGGGTTTTTGTCAAGAACTCCGTAGCCAAACTTACCGGGCCCGAGGCTGGTGGAAGGCCGTCATCAAGTTCGAGAGCCTCAAGATTGTTGCGTTTTAAGGCAACTCAACCGGCGGAAAAGCGAGTTGTCGAAGGGACCCTGAAAGTGACCGAGGTGCCGCAACGGGGTAGGTCATCGTCTTGCCGCGAGAGTAGCAGATGGACGCGGGAGGGTGAATAGTGAGTCCACTTGGCCGCCAGGGCGTGTGCCACAAAAGTGACTTCGAAGCATACGATACTAGCGTATCGGCTTATCCATAGGCGATTCAGCTCGAATTCCGTCTAATCAACCTGAGAAATATTTGTGGATCTGTACCTCAACTGTACCTTGACAAGGCGGCTTCTCCAAGTACCTGACTCGACGGCCAGACCTTTTTTCGCGCAGAGGCATAGGTAGTTCGGGCAGCAACTATACATGGGAAGAAGACTCATGATGGTCGAAGCTAAGGTGCACGACGCGGCGCGAGACGACGCGAGCAAGACGCCATCGCGTGCTGCCGCGAGCTCAACGCGAAGACGCGTAAAGGCGGCCATCGTGCCGCGCACTGCGAAGGTGCGACCCACCTCACCTCTCGACTCCCATGTTCCGGGGCTGTGCGCCCATCCGACCGCCGTTCCGCCCATGACCTGCTCGCTGAACGCGCTCAGAGCTTCCGTGCGCTCTGTGCGCTCGGGAACCGGCCCGCTCCCTCCGTTCTGCCTATCTGCGCGCCGCTTTCCTCCACGGACAGCCGTACACCTGCGTGCGCGAGGGTTCCAGCACTTGGCGCAACCCCCGAAGACGGCCGCTGAGAAGGCCGAGTCTTCCCCGGCTCCTTCTGCTGCTGCAGCTGCACCGGCATCTCCCGCCGCTGCACCCCAACCACCTGCTTCGCCTCCACCGTCTTCTGGGAAGAGTCTCATACCGGAGGAGAATGTCAGCCGCGCGGAGCAGCGCCGGCGCGATTGGCATATCATCAAACAGCTGATGCCCCACATATGGCCGAAGAACGACTGGGGAACGAAGGGCAGGGTCCTCATGGGCGTAGGTCTGCTCGTGGGCGGCAAGGTGAATACTGTGTATATGATTCAGTGGGCGCGATTCTAAGACGATCACACCGTGTAGCTTTTGAATGTGCAAGTGCCGATATTCTTCAAGAACATCATCGACGCGTTGGATGTACCGCTGTCTTCGGATTCCACGGTTTGGGTTGTGTGCGGATCTGTCATCCTCGCATGTTAGTCTACTGAAAGCTCTTCACCGCGTCTTTGAATGCTCATAGTGGTCTATAGATGGCGGTGCGAGGATAGGTGCTACACTCTTCGCAGAGCTTCTGAACGCGGTCTTTGCCAACGTCGGCCAGCGCGCGGTCCGAACAGTAGCAAGGGAAACGTTCGAGCATCTGCTGAACCTCGACATGCGGTTCCACTTGAACCGACAGACTGGCGGCCTCACTCGCGCTATTGACCGTGGTACCAAGTGAGTGGAAGTTGATTCTCAATCTGCGTATGCTGATGTGTTTAGAGGCATCACGTTCATCTTGCAGGCGGTCCTCTTCCGAGTCGTACCGACTGCTCTTGAGATCTCTCTTGTCTGCGGTATTTTGACCTACAACTTCGGATGGAACTTCGCTGCCATCACACTCACGACTATGGCCGCTTATACCTGGTTCACCATACGGACTACGGCGTGGAGGTTCGATGACGCGCTCATTTAATCTTATCTAGGCGCTGATGCTCCGATTAGAACGAAGTTCCGGCGGGACGCCAACGTTGCGGATAATAAGGCCGCTACGACTGCAGTGGATGCGCTGATCAACTACGAGGCTGTCAAGGTGCGTGGACAACATGCCGGTAGCCGCTTGGATCTGATTGAGCCACCTATAGGAGTTCAACAACGAGAAGTACCAGGTCCAACAGTACGACAAGCATCTCAAGGCGTACGAGAAAGTGTCCGTGAAGATCGCTACTTCTCTTGCATACTTGAACTCGGGTCAGAACGTCATCTTCTCCTCGGCCTTGACAGGCATCATGTTCCTAGCCGCTCAAGGAGTCGTCAATGGTATAGACGATTGTCTCACTAGTTTTATCTGCCGTTCTCATTCAGCGCTTACAGGTACAATGACTGTCGGCGAACTAGTCATGGTGAACCAACTCGTGTTCCAGCTCTCCATGCCGCTCAACTTCCTCGGTACGATCTACCGCGAAGTCCGCCAGAGCCTGCTCGACATGGAGGTCCTCTTCAATCTCCAATCACAACACACACCTCCAGGCGACCCGCCAGGCGCGAAGCCAATCGCGCTTCGCGGAGGCGAGATTCGTTTCGAAGACGTCCACTTCGGATATCACCCTCAGCGCCCGATATTCGAGGGACTGTCGTTGACGATCCCCGCTGGCTCTAAGGTCGCACTCGTCGGGCCATCGGGATGCGGGAAGAGTACTGTCTTCAGGCTGCTGTTCAGGTTCTATGATCCTGCTTCCGGCCGCATCACCGTCGACGGGCAGGACGTACGCAAAGTGCAGCTCGAGAGCTTGAGGAGAGCCGTCGGCATCGTGCCGCAGGATACACCGCTCTTCCATGCCGATATCATGCACAACATCCGGTACGGCCGTTTGGACGCCACGGACGAGGAGGTCATCGAAGCGGCCAAGCAGGCGCACGTACACCAGACCGTGCAGAGGCTTCCTGAGGGATACAGTACGGCCGTGGGAGAGCGCGGGTTGATGATCTCCGGTGGGGAGAAGCAGCGGCTCGCCGTTGCGCGCGTGTTGTTGAAGGACCCGCCAATCCTGTTCTTCGACGAAGCTGTGAGTCATGTCGATTTTGCGTGCGCACATGGGCTGATATGATTTGTAGACTTCTGCGCTGGATGCGTCTACGGAGAGTGAACTCATGCGCAACATCAACGCGTCGCTTCTGGGCAAGCGCCGGACGTCTATCTTCATCGCCCACCGCTTGCGAACCGTCGTTGAAGCTGGTAAGTCTCGCCCTATTCCCCTTCAGATGACCGCGCTAACGTTGTTGCTTTAGACATTATCTTTGTGCTGAAAGAGGGCCAGGTCGTGGAGCAGGGCACGCACGACGAGCTGATGAGGATGAAGGGCCTTTACTACTCGATGTGGATGGAGCAGCAGGCGGACATCTTCGCAGAGGAGTCCCCCGACGTATCGGAGTAATATTATATATGCTATGTAGACTAGAGCTGTGCATGCTATCCAAATCCCACTGCTTTCCATCAACTCGCCAGAATTTCCGTGAGCCTCGAGGCGCACGGCGTTTGCCGTAACGGAAATCTCACGCTTCGGCGCGCGTCGATATTTTTCTCTGAGCGCTTGGACTCTGCTTCTCTTCGTGCGGCGACATGGCTCTACTTTTCCCCAATTGTTGCTCATGGCTGCCCTACCCTACGCGGCCGTTCGAGTGTCAAGCCATGCCCAGAGCAAAGGTGGAACGTCTTAGCACCCTATGGTCGCCTTCCAGTCGTACGCGACGTTGGTGGAATGCGGGCGGGTCGGTGGTTCCTTACAGATCTTCGATACGGTAATACGGTTGCTCCAGTACGTAGTCTGTATTGTACATGCCATTACCTGCCCATGAAATGCAATCCCATGATGTCTTTCTTCGCTGACTCTAGTGCGTGAAAGGCTGTGACTCGCCAGTGTACACCTGTGCTCGCCGACTCTGGCATCCCGAAAGCTTCGCGGAGGAGCTTCCAAACGAACGTCGTTCCCCGTCTATGGAAGGTCTACAGCACCGCTAGAAGACTCGCGCTGTCATGCTTCCGATAATCAATCTGATGCTGTGGGTCTGCTTGCTGTGGCGTCCAAAGTCTTGCTTTGTGCCACCACCGCTACCTTCACCTTCACCTCCACCCGCCCTCTCGCCTTTTCGCCCGCTTGCCTCGTCATGCCCAACTTCCGCGACTCAGCTAGTTCGTGCGACGTCTGTCTCGAGCCATACCGTGAGAAGGAGGCGAATCGTGAACAACATATCTTGGTCCCCTGCGGACATATGTACTGCTTCAGGTATGTCTATTGCCATTTATTCCCGGAGACGACGGGATGTCGAGATTGATACGCGAGTATAGGTGCATTCAAGGCTTACGCGGTCTGTGTCCGTCGTGCCGGAAACCCTACCAACAGCACATCCAAGTATGGCATGACGCTCCCCGCTCTGTATCTCCTTCGCAGATGCTGCTCGACGCGAAGGAAAACGTGAGAATCGCGTGCTTCAATTTGGATCGGTATGAGGGCTTGGGCAGTGACTTCCATGAGAGGGTTGAGGATCTTCTTGCGCTTTGTGTTCCGAAGGAGGAGTCGGTAAGTGCACATGCGTCACTCGACGACGGGAAAGGTCTGATCAACTTGCTTCATAGGAGGATAGGATCTTGCCAGTACTTCAGGCCATCGAAAGACTGGTGCTCGGTTTCAAAGATGCGCACGCAATCGCCGCCAGGGAGTCGCACAGGATGCACCACAACGTGCAACCAGCAAGAGAACGCGAAGAGGCTCGTCAAAACGCTCTGATCGAGCTGTTACTTCAAGATGTCGAGGTTCTTCAATCCAGACTGGAAGCCCACCAGTCCATAGCTCCAGTTGCGGCAGACATGCCGCGTTCGAAGAGATTAACGCCTATACTCGCGCCTAACCCGCTCTTTGGCCGCGTCGACCCGCTCGCTCCCGGCGCATTCTACTATGTTGGTCCGCCGCCCGGTCATGGTGTCAAACTGGGACGCCAAACACCTGCGAGGACGCTCGCGTCTCCGCGTACGTCGCGCGATGAACTTCTGAACTCGTATCTCGAGCGCGTTCAGGATAAGCTCGATCGGGCCGAGCAGGAAGATGCAGCGCGAAGAGCTGCAATGCCGGATTACTATGCAGCAGAACCACCTACCGAACCTCTCCTGCTCAATACACACGAGTATGACCAGGATGTCAATCGCTTTCCACTAGCTGACGCCCTTGGCTTGCAACGGAATCATTCATCTGCTGGATTGGGTCTGGGTTTCGACTCTAGAGACCCTATAGGCGGGACACTCTTCCGCTGAAGGCAAAGAAATAGATCCCACATACATGTACTACTTTTATACGAGCATACGTGCAATGACCGGCTACAAGCAATAAACTGTTGACAAATTGCCCTTTGATGTCGAAGCCGGCGTGCCCGAGCGTGCCCATCATCGGAGTTCAAACGCGGATATAACAACAGGCGCAGTGGCTCGGGTAAAGATCTGTACCGTCAAACAGTATGTAGCTTGCTGACGTACAGGAAGAAAGCGAGTCTCCCTTTCATCCGGAAATCACGCAGAGAGTAGCACCGAGTTTGTACTGAGCTGATGAGACGCGCTGGGATGCACTGGGGTGCGGGGATCATCGATCATCTCCGCTCGGCGCCAGCACCTCTATCTGAGATTCGATCAGGGCAAATCAATCGTGGCGTACAAGTTCCCGCGCTACAGCGACGATATGAGCTTACGGAGCGGCGCAGCGTTGACGGCGACGCGGGTTGCTTTGCTCCAGTTTGCTCCTTCAATTAGCGCGTTGCGTTCACGCTTCTTGCTGTCCCCCGCCGCTCTTTGGGAACCCTCGCGCCGTCCATGTCAGTGGCATGTCCGAAGGGCAATCGTCGGACGCGATTGCCCAGCAATTCTGTAAGCGCTAACCTTTCCTTGCGTATTTACGTCTAGACTTACATTGTCTATAGTAGCCGGTCAGAGGTTCTCTTATGTGCTTCTCGGTCTCGTACTGTGCGTGCTCTTTGATTCCTTGGTGTGTAGGGTAGCAGCTGACGATATTCCTCGACGTTCGTAGCTGGGAGACTGGGATCAACTTGGACTATGACTGGAAGCTCGTGCGACGCCAAAGATGGCCATGGCCGCCAGCAACATGGGTGCGTACTCGCAGTGGCCGTTCGAGAGGCCTCTATCTCACGTTTGTATGCGCTATAGGCATACCTGATCTGTCGTCTATCGGTGCTCACGTTCATAGTCCTGGCGGGTGTTCATCCCAACACCGACTGCGGTGTGCGTTCCCTTCCTCCTTCCTCAAATACCATCCGAACTAACTGCACCCGCAGGTCAAGATCCGTATAACATACATCCCTCCTTACTTGGTCATCACCAGCTCTTCGTTCCTTATCTCTCTTCGGACTATGGCAGTATGGTCCTACGACCTCCGCATCGTGACTATCGCAGTGGTCGGATGGCTGATCGAGTTCGGCGTAGCGGTGCTTACTGTCGTCAAAGTACGTCTCGCGCTTCCCCGCACTCGGCGCTGATGGCTGACTTGTATTCAGGTAGACCCTCTGAGGGTCGAGTACACGACATCGAGCGGTGTGCTCCTACACTGCGCGAACACGACGATATGGTTCATAGTGATCAATCTCGGCGTTACGTTCGTGTACAACGCGTTGCTTTTGATACTGGCGATCGCTGTGCTTTGGCGCCGGAGAAGGGCAAGCGAACATGGGCTGTGGCGCACACTTCGCATCCAGGGGGTCATATGGCTCTGTGCGTGCTCGGCGGTACTCGTTCCTACCGTGGTCGTCGTTGCTGTCGATATCAATGGTGAGTTCCTGATCTGTTTGTATGCCGTTTCGTGCTGAGTTTGCGTCAGAAACTGTGAGCACAGTACGTCTCAGTCCTATCGTTACCATTTCTGTGAAGACGTTGTTCATTTGTTCTACGTCTATAGGCAATCCTCATTGCGGCAGGTACGTGATAGAGTACTAATTCCGCAACGTTGACTGATCTGAACCGCTGCAGATCTCGCACTGTACGTCTCCTCGCCCACCTCCAACCGTGCCCAACTCTAAACCCGACTTTTTACTAGATACGTCAGCGCCACCCGCATGTTCCGCCAGCTTCACGCGTTCGACGACACCCAGTCCCGGGATGGAACAGACGACGAGCTCCCGCACTTGACAACCGTGGTGACCTCGCACTCCGACGACATCGAGTTACCATCGATGATGGATCCCGATCTCTTTGATGTCGTGCGCAAGTCGACGGATATCACCGAGTTGGGTATACGCTCGCAGGGGCCTTCTGTCACTACACACGACTCATCCCGATGATGAATATACGCTTCGGTTGTCTAAAGGGATGTACGATGGGATGCGCGAATCATATATCCCATGATATGCGATGTTGCGTAGACGAAAGAGCCGTAGCTGTCGCTATTGCAGAGTTTGCATCGTGCATGCCGCTCGAGCGCGACTCCTAGGAGGCCGCCAACCATGCAGCCGACTGCATATTGCTTGTACAGGCGTCTAGATCAGTTATAAGTAAACTAGGCACCATCCTTGGACAGCCATAGACTTGTAATCTTACCAATAAAGCCGTCCTACTGCACTGGTGGTCGCGGACATCGAGTCACGCGCATACGGCGACGCTCTGTTGAAAGGCGTCACGGTCGCGACGTTTGTGACTAGACGCGTTGAATTGATCGCGGCGAAGTGAAACGCGCGCATTGAGGTTCTTTCTTGCCTCGACTCGAGAACCACCACAAGGGCTCTCGCAGTATCTCACCCATCGACTACCCTCTTTCTAGACAACCTCTCTGCTCAAGACTTGAATATGGCTATCACTATCGAGATATCCGACGATGAGCTGGAGTACGCTCCCGTGTCGACGGACGTGGTGACAAGGCGGGTGGGCAAGAGGAAGCGGACGCCGTCTCAGCGGTTCGAGGACTCGAGGGTGCACGCGGAGGTAAAGAAGGCGCGTATGGATACGAAGAAGAAGGTATATCATTTCAACTGGGCAATATTACATACTGGCTAATAGTATATCAGGTGACAGCCGCGAACCACGACCGGAAAGGCGAGATCGAGTTGGCGCAGAAACGCTGGGTCCACGCGCACAGGGCTCTCTTCGAGGACGTGCTGCCGCCGAAGAATCCGTATCTGGCGTCGGTGGAGAAGGAGATGCAGTCGAAAGCTGGGCGCGGAAGTCATGTACCGTTGCGGCAGCTTGACGAGCAGCCCAGCCTGGTCACGGGTGGTTCACTCAAGGCTTACCAGGTTTGTATTCCCTCATTCTACTCATGGAATGTGTTTCTGACGATGTTTTGTCTAGATGACGGGCGTCTCATTTCTCGCGTGGATGTACGACAACGGTGAGTGCTACGCACTCTTCTTGAGGCATCTTTTTCTGAGACACAAGACCAGGCATGAACTGCATGCTCGGCGACGAGTGCGTCCCTTCCCATCACTATGATGACCCTTACTCACTTCACCGCTTTGTAGGATGGGACTCGGAAAGACTCTGCAGGTGCGTAATTGTACGGTGGTACGAACGCCAGACACTCATACGCAAGTCAGACGCTCTCGCTCATGGCATATGCCAAAGAACACCACCCCCACGACCCGCCTCATCTCGTCATATGCCCACTATCTGTACTGGACACATGGGTCGCCGTACGCCATTTCCTCGCCCATGATCCACAAAGGACTCTCAACGCTGACACACACCCTGCAGGAAGTCGCACGTTGGGTTCCATCTTTCCGTGCCGTGCGCTGTCACGGCAGCGCGAGCGAGCGCGCAGAGACCAAGCACAAGATTACGCAGACGCCTTCGAAGGTCGATATCTGCGTGACGACTTATGAGGCTTACCGCGCGGACCATCAGTGGTTTAAGAGGCAGCGTTGGAATATATTCGTGCTGGACGAGGGTCATCGGATTCGGCATTCGAATACTGAGATTAATCATACGATTCAAGGCCAAGGGTCTCTATACCGCCTGAGTACGTCGCGCATGACATGAGTGGGGCTCGCGGATGCTGACGTCCTGTAGTTCTTACCGGGACGCCCGTGCACAATGATCTGAAGGAGCTATGGTCGTTGTTCCGCTTCCTCTACCCCAGCATCTTCACTGCCGCCTCACAGCGTAATTTTGAGGATTCCTTCGACCTGTCTCGCGGTCTCTACGAGGCTGCATTCACTTCGGCCTGCCGCCGTCTGCTCGACCGCGTCATGCTCAGGCGCACTCATGCCGAACCTGATATTGCGAAGGAGAACGCAGTGCCTGAACGTGAAGAGATCACTATTCGCAGTGAGTCCTCGTAGCCGGCGCTATGTGATGGAACCCAGCTTATTGAGGTCCGCTCGTAGTCCCTCTCGGACCCGCGCAGCGCTTCTGGATGTATAGGTTCGTACAGCGACCATGCTCTGCGGCTTCTATTCGTACTCAGCAGGATCAACAGGCTGCTCACCCGCCAAGACACGCTCACCATCGGCGATATCTTCCAAGCGCAGGCAGATGGCCATGGTGACGACGATGAGATGAAGGCCATTGTGCAACGACAGATGCAGCAGTCGCCAAAGGAAGACAAGAGTGAGTCTACGCTACCTTCTTTCGGTGTCTGAACTGACTTGAGATCGAATGCAGCTTGGAGGCGCTTGATGAACCTCCTCTTGCAACTTCGTAAGGTCTGCAATCAGTATGTTGCTCATGCTTGCGCACAGGCCAACGATGGCTGATAACATTCATAGTCCATATATGCTTCCCGGAGCGCAGCCAGAACCATATGTACGTGACATCGGGCGCCGGTATCGGCAGACGCTGACGTAGAATCCAGTATCTCGGAGAGCATCTTGTTTCCGCGTCCTCGAAGATGGCCATGATCGACAAGCTGCTTGCGGATATCATCGGCAAAGGCGAACGCGCCCTCGTCTTCTCGGTGAGACCTACTTCATAGAAATTGCATGCATCCAATGGCTAACGATAGCATTGTCTAGCAATTCAACAGGTAGAGGGTATCAACAAGCATTATCGTATGCGCGCTCACACCACCCTTTCAGCATGCTCAACCTCATTGAAGATCTTATGAATCTCCGCGGTATCAAATATTGCCGTCTGGATGGCCAAACAAGCCGCGCGAGGCGCAAACTGGATATCAGGCTGGTTAGTGGCGAACGTCCCCATCATCTCCACTCTCTGTCTGACGTACACTCTTGCAGTTCCAGGCAGAGGACTCGCGTGAGTTCGCCCTCGAACTTTGCCAGTATCTACATGTATTGACGTCTTCCTAGCCTATTCAGTCTATTTGGTTGCTACCAAGGCCGGAGGGTTGGGTATCAACCTGACGCGTGCATCGCACGTCATCATGGTGGACCGTGACTGGAACCCGCAGAACGATCTACAAGCTATCGCGCGCGCTCATCGCATCGGGCAAACTAAAGTCGTTAAGGTATTTGTCTCTTTATCTCCCCTCCTGCTCTATTTTAGTGCTGATGGTTCACCAAGGTGTACTCCTTGATCTGCAGCGGGACCGTCGAGCAACAGATGGAGGACCGCATCAACCGCAAACTGTTCTTGTCGTCCAAGATGATGGGCAGCGGCGACGGGGCCGGCGACGATCACGCCGACAGCCTCAAGCTCCAAGAACTGCTCTCTATCATGCGCATGGGCGCGACCGCTCTGGCCGACGGCGCGACTACGGCCGTCATGCCCCTCCACGAGTTCAACCAAGCCGACGCGAGGACCATCCTTGCTGCCGCGCGTAAGCAGGAGAAGAAGCGCCGTGCGGAACTCGAGCGTGGCTCTGATACGCCTACGACTCGGACGGACTCTGATGTTGCGGAGGAAGAGGAGAACATGCGCAGGGTTGCGAGGGTGTTCAGCCGGCTGTTCGAGGGGAAGCTCGTGGCAAGGCCTGTGGACCGCTCGAAGGCGTGGGAGCAGGCGGAGAACGAGAAGGCGGCGGGTGTGTGGCAGGAGATCCAGAAGCGCGCGAGGGTCGATCGGCTGGTTACGGTCGATGGGATGCAGTTCGTTGCGGAGCAGGTTTTGGCGCCGGGCGATGCGGTGAGTGTTTGAGCGGTTGGTGATGTGGATTTTCGATGCTCATGGATATTGTGGCTGCATAGGCTTCGAGAGAAGAAGCACTACGAGATGATGCACCAGCCAAGAAACCGCGCGGTATTCAAGCACACGAGCCATGGTGCATCGTCTGTCGCGACGTACGTGCTCCTTTCATGTTGCTATCAGTCGTCCATTGAATGCCGTTCATAGGGTGGAGAGCTGTTTTGCTGCAATCATTGCCCTCGAGGTTCGTTAGACGCTAACTATGTACATCATGCCGCAGCCGCTCACGTTTGTATAGTCGTCCACGCAGAATGCATCAGTCTGAGCGTCCGGGAAGCCCGTAAACAGCCAATGATCCGTTGTCCTCAACATAGGTGCATGAAGTGTGAGCGCCAATGTTCGGACGCAGGTGGCATGCTTTACAGGTGCGCTTGCCACCAATCTTCTCTCTTCATTTAATCTCGACTGACGGTGGCGGCTTCTCAACGTCCAGATGCGAAACATGCCCAAACACGTATTGCGATGACTGCCTGCCCGACGGCAAGTTCTGGTCTGTAGGCGAATCCTGCCCGGTCCAGGAAGCGCTGGGCTTTTCCCGTCAAGCGACGGCCTACTTTATGCGCTGCCATCCTTGTCAGAAGCGGTTTAAGAAAGATTCTAACTGGGAGGGCTGGGAGGACGAGATACGTGAGGCAGAGGAGAAGCTCGCGCGTATGTACCAGAGTAACTGATACCCCCTTGCTTGGATTACATCGCTATGACCATGCTGTTCGATTCTGATGGGTCTTGGTTGCATATTTTAGACGCTCCCTGTAGATAATGCTGTTCATACCATACTGCGTCGATACTGTAGAGCTACTATGAGCGTTATATAATGGTTCATCAGTGTGAGTCGCATAGATTGGGGAGTCGTAAGATGTGCTAGGCTACTATGGCGTTCACGGTCACGGTTGACTTCGGATCCTGCTCGTGATTATATGCGCTCATAGGCGCTCACAACATGGATGATATTACGTGCGATATGTTACGGCGATACATAGGGCCATTTGTTGCAGTCATGTCCTTGACAAAGCGCAATCCCTGAAAGTAGTCACTGCCGTTTCACTCCTCACATCTGCGAGAGGTCGTTGAGCAAGGGTACCACCACATGATGACAAGCTGTACGCACCAACCAAGCCCAGAAGGCCTCCAGTTTGTTCCTTGGCGGAGGCTCGTCGACGTCTTCAGCCTCAATCTCAGCAATGTTGGAGTAAAAGTCCATCGCCTCCGGCTTGATGGGCGGCACGCGTTTCCAGATCCGAGCACCTATGTACCAGACGGGGAAGAGGATCACTGGAAGGTACGTCTGAAGTCTCGCATTAGTCATGAGTGAAGTTACCAGTACGCAGTGAACCGCACCGTGACGAACGTGGCCGTATCCCAGTGTCCTCTGATGAAGACTTTGAAACCGTTGAACTACACTATTGTCAGCGCAGAAACGGGCACCTGGAAGTGAGGACGGGGACGTACGAAGCAGATAATAACAATGAAGATTGCCGCATACCACGCCGCGTACGGCTGAAGATTGGTGTAGTATGGCAGGGTCGTGCGATCAATACCCTGGGCCTTCATTCCGGCGTAGAAGCGGATATAGGTTACGCCTGTCGTGAATGTCAGTACACCGGACAAGCGAGCATCGACTTATGTACGCACAGATGCCGAACCAAGTCAGCAAGCCAGCGATACTTGTCATGTTAGAGAACCAGGTGAAGCTGGGGATCAACGGATCAGACATCCGATGATTACTGGGGAGGGAGAACCACTCACACTTTGCCAGATCCAGCCGTCGTTCCCATGTACGACAAGAGCGCAAAAGCCACTGATACGAGGAGGGCCAGAATGGGCAGACCGTTCCTCTTCATGGTCATAGAGAAGATGCGCGGAGCATTGCCTGCGAGAGCCAAGCCGTCTACGAGGTACATCGTTAGCATCTTGCCGTGTGAATCATATTGAGAGGACGCACAGAGAGCCCGAGAGCTGGTATACATATCAGAGCTTGCTGCGGACCATGCTGCCGTCAACAGACATGCATTGATGATCTAGAATATCTGGTCAGCTCGCGTCGTACATGTAAAAGATTGAACACGAACGCTGGGCAGAGCACGGATCTTGGCGTTCTGAATAGCGATGACGAACGGCGAAGATGCAGCCGTTCCGGATGCCAGATTCAATCGGTCGTCGTTCGAGGGTACAAGCAAGCCGATGACGATCACGCCACCAATGTAGAACAACAGGATTCTGCGACACTTCAGCGGTGCTTCTTAGCCATCATAGAAGTCGCCACATACCGGATATACACGCGCTTGATGGCCTTCGGCAAGTTTCGACGAGGGTTCTTCGCCTCTCCAGCAGCGATCTGAACAACGTTAATGACACTCAAAGTTGTGAAGTAGATGCAGACGCACAGCAACAATCTCTGTGCCAATGAAGCTGAATGCAGCGTTCGTCATCACCGCCCACCAACCCAAGAATCGTCCCTCGGCGCCCTGGATGTTATCATATTGAACGAAAGGGCCCGGGTTCTTCCACTGTGGCAGCCGAAGTGTCAACGATCCTTTCAGACATCTAAGCAAAGAACAGAGGCATACGTAGCGGAATCCCAATCGGTCGTGGGTGGGACCACCACCAAGGTCGATAACAATACCCAAGATGATGAGACCGACGATGGTCAGAACCTGTTGACGAGTGAGTGGTGAGCGAACCAGCCCAGTATTCCAGTGTATGCCCTGACCTTGATCGATGCAAAGACGAACTCCGCCTCGCCGTATGCGCCGGCTCCCAAGAAGTTGATAAAGCTACGGTAGATGACCCGGCTGAGCGAGCATCGTAGGAGATTGATGGAAGTACGTACACGACTACGATCTGTTTCTTATGTTAGAGTCGCATCACGATGCGTTCTTTGTATAGTACTCACGAGACATATTGTTATCCATGCCGGATTGAGATTCGTATTGCCTATATACGCGATCAGTATTGAAGCAAAAAACATGTCTCGCTCGACTTACTATCCCAGAAGTTGATCAAGACGGCGCTTGCACTAAGCTCTGCTGGTAAGACGATGACCCAGTTGTACCAGTAGTTCCAACCTGAGGAGCCGATCAATTCAGTTAAGCTATACTCAGCACGAGCGACCAGACTGATTGGGGACTCACCCATCGTGAAGGAGAATGCGGGGTCTGAAAGCGACCAATACGGATCTATGAGCGATGATTGCGTCTGCTAGAAGCCGACCTCACATACCAACGAATCGTTCAGCCAGCTTAATGTGTCCACCGGGAATGGGTAGGTAGGAGATCATCTCTCCCAGCGAGATCTGTATCATTGGCATCAGAACAGGACAAGTCTTCCTTCGAAGACGGAAGTACGCACCATAGTGGCGTAACACACAGTACCGACTATGATATAGCCGAGCTGGGTCACAAGACAGTCAGTATGAAGAGCAATGAACCTTTTATTCATCGTACCAGAAGGCCAACAGGTCCGCCATTGGCTAAACTGGTTGCCGTGCTTAAGAAAAGACCTGCACCTAGTTAGGACGGACACCTCGTGAAAAGATGTCACAATAGACATACCAGTGCCAATGACGCCTCCGATACTGCAATGTGCGGTCAGACGCGCGAAGAGGCTAAACTGACAGAACCGCTCACCTGATCATAGCTACATGTCTGTTCTTAAGCTGACGTTTGAGAGCGGTCGGCCGGATGCTGTCATCGTCATAGGCAGAATCGCCGATTACACCCTTTTCACTTTGATCGACGTGAACGCCATTTTTGGGATCTTTCAGCGTTCCGTCCGTGCTCGGTCTACGCTCGGAGGGCGAAGGGCTCGCGGACATGATGAGCCGATAGAAGGGAGCGGAAAGAAAGCACCGCAAAGAATCGAGGTGCAACCCTTTTATAGCGCGAACACCCGCGCGCTCCTCTTCCAGTCATGGTGGTGTACCCGTAACATCATCACGCGGCACATAAAGTTCGACCCGGCGGTGCAGTAGGGCGCTTCTGAGCGACGCCCGCACAGGCCGATCCAGGTGACAAGCGAGCAGGGATCAAGAAGGCGCCCATAAATCCGAGCAGGACCTTACAACGACTGCAGTCTGGCCGCACACTCACTCGCAGAGCGTACGCGGAGAGGTTGCCATACACAATGTCTCGGGTAGAAATTAGTCGTATGACCGCGATGGTGCGACGTCACGTACTCACGTACAGAAGCAAGCGCTACTTTCCGCACATGGCGGATGGAGCCTTCGTCAAATTGGCTGATCAACCCTTCCAGGTAATGCTGCGCACGAGCAAAGGTGCTCTCCTGAGGCGGTGGCTTCACAGAGTAGGCGTACTAGGGCGCCTAGCAGAGAATGAGACTCCTGAGCGCTACATGGGGCAGTTACGGTATCCAGAAGTATCCAGAATTCCTGTTCAATGTTCCCGTCGTGCGCGGGGCCCCGTTCGGCCGACATTCTACGTAGTGTTCGGATCAAGGTGCATCGATCAATGCCACGCGTGAACGAGTACAGTTTCGACAGCATCAGGTAGCAGTACGAGCACGAGGACGCGAAATAAGCTGTACAAAGACGGCTGTGGTATGTATCTGGGCGCGAGCGAGGTGAGAGATAAGCGTAAAGGCCTCGACGACCGTGAGAGCGGGTTTCGGCTCCGAAGCTCGCGGCACACGTTCCCGTCAGCGCCTCGCCGCCTCTTGTTCTTCGCCACCTTCTGCATCAATTCCACAACGATTGTTGCCCGGGTGGCGTCGTATTTCTACGCCGGATATGCCAGTCTGACACTCCGTTCTCAGCGGCAGGCTGATGGTACGATCCTCGACATACGCTGTGGACTGTGCTTGCGCCACTTTGAACCCGTTGGTGTACGATATTATTCCCGCAGTAGGTAACTTTCAGCGGTCACAAAAGTCCGAGTGGTCTGAGCCACGAGGCTATGCCTTGTGGGAGGCCGGAGTGCTACACAGAAGCGCTGGGCGGCTGCTAAGACCTGCTTGACCACACGGAATAGACTCCGATGACACAGGTACACAGCGGGACAAGCACTTGCCTTTGCGGTGAAGCTGTGGCGTGCCAGTCAAAGCCAGCGACACCCGTATCGACCATCGGATAGGGCCCTAGCGTTGCCCTGCTGAGGGTGTTGCGGCCATGCATCTCGGCAACACAATGAAGAAGCTCGGACTTCGGTCCATGCTCTGCGGCGAATGAGCCACAGCGTTCCATATTGGGCGTGGATCGATATCGCCGCTCGATAATGGTCACATCCCCTTTTATGCTTTGTCGCCTCCTGTCATCCACATCGCCTCTTCGTCCGCTTCGCGTCCCAAGCTGCGGCTTGACCCGCAGTCTATAAGAATGCACTGTTGGATCACCGTGCGGCGGCTATCCCCTCCCGCCTCTCCGTTTCACCCTTCACCCAGATGGCCAGCTCCTCATCTACTACACTCATGACTGGCTCCGTTCATCCCGCGTCTCTTGTCGGTCGGACATGGCATTCACCCGCTCTTCTCAACCTGGTTGAGGAGCCTGTAACGCAATCCGTACTTGGTATGTCTCTCAAGTACCATTCATTGTAACGTCTGACTGAATTCGCTCGTAGACCACATAGTGGACACTGTCGTCGAAACTTGTTGCTACGCAAGGAGCCGTGTTCAGCAAGACGACAAGATGATGGACCAACCTGACCAAAGCTCTATCACCGCACTCGTACGGAGTGTTGCTCGCCGAGCGGACGTATCGATGCCTGTTCTCCTCGTTACCTTGGCATATCTCGACCGAGCAAGGCGAGCTCTCTTCTGATCGGCTACTATGACTCGCAACTGACCGGACTCTCATCTATAGACCGCATCTGTATATCGGCTCGCAGGAGTATGCGTACGAGCGTGTGTTTCTCGGAGCGATTATCGCCGCGTCTAAGGTTCGTCCGTTCAGGGAAGTCGCATTGCCTCTTTCTGACTTGTGTGACATATAGTTCACGAACGACTCATGCTTGCGCAACGTGCACTGGGCGGTTGTTTCATGTATGTTCGGTCCTCGCGACGTCGGGAGGATTGAGAGGGAATTCTTGGCCGTCCTCGACTATGAACTGAAGATCTCAGAGTCGGACGTTCTCGCCCATCATGCTTGGCTCAGCTCCGAGGCCGCACCATTGGAAGCATACTCGCCTATGGTGCTACCTCAACTTGTCCTTTCACATGCGGAACCCGCCAGCCCGGCGTCGCCGTCAACCCCTGAGCACTATGATGCTCTGTCGCCGTCAGCGAGCTCGGACGAATCCTCGCCTGGAATGCCGGTCACACCGACAGATGCGCCCATGCGATCTGTCGCAGCTGCCAGCCTTTCCGCATTGCGAGTCATGTTACCTCCCTCGTACGGAATGCAGCATGCGGAGGCGGCGGTTCCTCTCAAGCGCAAAGCATCGCGGTCGATGAAGCTGATGTCGTTCAAGCGCGGCTTCCTCGGCACGCCTTCGCGCCCGCACCCCGAGGAAGCCGGATACGTAGTCTGAGCGGAAACGTTCACGCCACACATGGCATCCAGTGCAAACGCCGCATCCCCTCGCTTGGGCGTTGTCCGTTTCCCTACTCGTCTCTCTGTTCCGCCTCGCATCCGAGTTCGTATCTCTGTTGGACCTAGTACTATAGCATACTTCATTTGTCTGTCTCGCTCTCCATGCATCACCATCTCTTCCATTTCCTTTGGTCTCACATATCTCCTGCATTGTTCCCGTCATCTTGCATCCAACCCATCTTGATATCCCGATCTGCACATATCGCCTGTTGTTTACGTTTGCTGCCCATACGAGTCACGCCCTGCATCTTGCAATACGCCCATCAATACATGCTAACCCTTCACGATCCCTGGGATACCGTATCTAAACGCGTTAGAGATCAGTCAAACCCAGGTAAGTAGACCGGTGCTCTCTATATTTGCCGAGCGTTCCCGATATGGGAGTGGTAAGTCCGGGAAGTGCCGCGGCGATCAGAATGCGGGAACGTGGATTGCGTGAACGCAACCACTCTCTCTGCGCCGTCATGGAGCTTGTTCAGGCTTGTCCACTACTACCATGCTAGACTCTCTCTCGAAAACTCCGCTTGATGATTCGGTTAACGACATAATGAATTCCCAACCGTACATCTCGGACGACTCGGACGATGAAGAGCTCACGCTCTTGTACCCAGATTCCGACCCGGAGTCTGACGCTGAAGTACAGCCCGAGTTGCACATAATACCACAACCAGAGCCTCTACAATCTACCCCTGCCCCAACTGAGTCTACTGCTGTGCCATTGTCACCGATCCCCGCCATCGTTGCGCCGGTCGCAAAAGTCGCGTCGGAAGTGTCACCGGCTAACCCGCCCGTGCTTGCACCACAACCTCCGTCTCGACCCTCTTCCTCCCTAAGCAGTCTCTCGGACGACGTGCCTCTCTCCCAGATCATTGCACCGCGGCCTTCGCAACCGCGAGCTCCCTCACCACCACCCAGGAAGCGCGCTCGGCTTGACGAATCTGCTCTCACGCCACTCGAACTGCTTGTAACTCCGTCTGGCGCGCGCACTCTGGAGTTCAACGCCGCCTCAAACTCATACTACGCATCGACTCGGCATTATTCTGTGGAGAACAGTGCTATATCGATACATACGTCAGATGGGTCTGCCGACCATGTCCCGCCGCCAAACAAGGGCTACGAGGTTCTTAGTTTGGATGACCACTCCAACAGAGACTGGCGAAAAAAGATCGGAGAATTGATTGCGGGTGGAGTATTTGGCAAGGCTAATCAGCGTACGTTGTCTCGCTGTCGCAATTTGACTTTTGTCTGATACAGCTTTAGTTCCCGAAAGGTCGGATGAGCCAGTTTGGACTCTGAAGGACTTTCCCCCGGGCTATGTGCTTTGGCGTCGCACTCAGAGTCGAGTGCCGACGTCGAGCAACCCGCAGACCACGCGTGTGGACATATACCTATACGGTAGGTTTATTCCTTGTTATATCCCGAAAGCTCTGATCACTCATGCACCCTAAGGCTCAAGACGCTTTGCGTCGCCTGCGGAATATGCACCTCATGCCATGTGGCTCATGCGCGGCGCGCCAGCCGGTAAATGCGCGTGCAAGTATTGTTCGCAAGAAGGTCAAAGAACGATCACAGCCGTGATGGAAGACGCTGTTATAGCCGCGCGCACCGCGCCGTCGGCTCGACGCTCCAAGTCTTTTGTCCCGCCCTCGCCCAAGAAGCCTACACCGGTCAGCCCGGTCAAGCATGTAGTCGTCCCCCCTCGTCCACTACCTGTGTTCCCGGCGAGCACTGCCCCGCCGAGGCTCGTTGCTGACGACGCCGAGTTCCTTCGCGCGCTGAAACGACGACGAGACGATTCTTCCGACTCGGAGGAGGCAGCGCGACCCCGGCCGTCAGCTCCCAAAGTGGAGATAGACGAGCTTTTTGGGGATATGTTGTGATCTATTTCCATCGCTTTCCATCCATCGCTTTGTACTGCTTTCAATGAATTATATGTATTTGAAGACTACTGTACGCGTGGCAGATTCTGTGGGATGCTATTTCCGTTACTCGGTCGTCTCTTCGATTGTTTCCCACTTATGCCCGAGATTCTTGGGGCCGGGCGGTCTATGATCCACTTTCCTTTGTACGCGGGCCGCAGGCGCCGAGCGAGTTGGGCATCTACGGACACAAACACGCGTCAGTGGAATATTCGTGTCTGCAAAAGCCGAGTACTGACCTGTGTCATTCTCCGCACACCAGAAGATCGCATCCGCAGACCCTAAGAACGCCCGCATGTCGTCCTCGCCACGCTCAACGCAGCTTATGCGCACGCTTCCATAGAGGAGAAGATCCCAGTCCCGAGCGCGCTTCTGCACGTGCGACCAGGCTAGCCGCGCGTCTTCCAACTGCTCAGGGTCGATGGCGACGGCGATGTCGCACCGCCCATTGGCCTTGATGGCCAGGACCGCCGCGAGGTACATGGCGCCCTTCCCGATGCACCGTATGCGACTCGCGCCCTCGACGTTGATCTTCTCTACAAGCGCCTGGACCTGCTTGTTGATACCTTCGGGTTGCGGAATCACGCGGCGCGCCTCGACAACAAGGTAACGCTGTATCTTCGCAGCGTCACCGTAGAACACAAGACGACCTTCCTCGCACAGATCGGACGATCGCTTCGAATTCGACGCAGCCTTGAAGCCGCGGAGCGTGCGGGTGATGAGCGCCCAGTACGCTTGAAAGGCGAAGCCGTTTCGCTCGTTGTGCGCCTTATTCAAGCCGTCTTGGTACGGCTTGACTTCGCGTTTCTGGGCATCATTCAAATAATCTACGTGGGCGCAATCAGCAGATGCTCTTTGCATACTTGAAAGTGACTGAGATACTGACCTCTGCATACCCGGCCAAGGGACTGGCACGCCATAGCCAGCGGATCCAACTTTCCGCCGCGCAGATTGTCATCTTGGGGGATTGCCAAAGGAAAGGCTTCGCTGGCGAGCCCACACGGAAGTTCCAAAACTACAGTCGCGAACTTCGTGCCAGTTGCGTCCCTGTGGTGGTCAAAAGTCTGTCGGAAGTCTGCAGGGCGGTGAGACAACAGAAGGCGGAAATGGTTGAATGCACGACGCACACTGCTTGTAGTACGTTGGGTTCAGATTGACTTCGGTAATCCAGATCATGCTCCGATGAGGGTGGCCGCGGAGGGTATCACAAACATCTGCGTTGCCAATACTACTCCAGTCAGCCCCGCATCCAACAAAGTCGTTCAGCGAGTGTGCGTACTGTGTGGTTGCGTGCTTTGGGAGAGAATCGGTACGAGTGGATGGAGTGAAGCTCGAGGAGCCGGCGGCGGCCTGCGCTGCCTGGGTCTGTGTGGTCGGGATCTCCGGGCGCGGCCTCTTCGATGCGCGTACTTGTGCCTCCGGTGCCGCCTTGCGCTTCAGCGAGCTGGAATTTGAAGATGTGCGGTTTGTCTGCATGTTGAGCTGACAAGGGAGAAGGGTCGATGTGTGCGAGAGGAAGGTGGCGCGGGTAGGGCAAAGCGTGAAGAGAGGTGAGATGTGGCGGTAAGAAGACGGTGGTTTGATCCACACCGAGTATAAATGCGGGAACGGTGTGGTCCGCACGCAGACGGAAACCACGACATTGGCCTAGATCAATGTTTGCTTTGTCCGAAGTCTCCCGTCGGGTTTGGTAACAACCACCAGTGGACAATGGCAGGTCAATGTCAGCATCGCCCTGAGACACAAGCTTTTGACTTATTTTATTCTCATAGGGTGCAATTCGATTGTACATCATCCTATTCACATTTCATGTACATAATGCTCGGCAAGCAGTGGCGGTCATGGGCTACTACAACTCTGCTAACCAATACCAGCCACGAGCCATACTTGAGCACTTAATGAATAACTTGCGGAATCGATTGATGCTGACAAGCGGCGGCACAGTAAGTCCTGAGGAGAAGATCCCAAGCAGTTTCCAGCCGAGTGCTATTTCAGGCAAACGGGAGTTTTTGTGCCCCCATGACGGTTGGCGATAGCCAGAAGGCAAGGCGAAGAGATCATGGACACTGCGTGAGAGCCTTTATCAGCAGTAACAGAATACATCTAGATTTGATAAACTTACAAAGCCGGAATAGCTCAGCTGGGAGAGCAACAGACTGAAGTTCTGGAGGTCCCGTGTTCAATCCACGGTTCTGGCATTATCTTTTCCACCCGGTACAATTCGGCTTGCTTCATTCGAGTAGCATGTCGATTTGGTAGAGGTTTGATACGACTCATCTGGGGACATGCTGCATGGATAGATTGCATGTAGGAGACGCCCGCTACGTTCGAGAAAAACTCTGCTGCGTGGAAGATAAAGATGGTACATCAATAGTACATTGGCGCGTGCGGACCAATACATGAGAACGGCTCCTTCGTAAACACACAGAATCGAGATGAGTATGTAGTACAGCATTCACACGTGCTTAGAAAAGTACGCTATCATTCTGAATCCGACCACTCGAATATTAATTCATCGACTTCCACGCTGGCCTCGCGGCTGAATACCTCTGCTTCAGCAGTAGAGTATCCGGCCAAAAGGTAGAGATCTTTCGTAATTGGTCGTTGCGGACCGGGTAAGCTCTTTCCAGGGCGTCTGGGATCTTCGACGCGATCGCAAAACTTGCATAAGCAGAGCGAGCGTCCTGTCGCATCGGAAGGTTGGCCGTCCATAAGCCACATCGCGTGGCGCGCAAACTCTTGTGGCGTCCGGAATATCATACCTGTAGTACCTAGAGCGATGTTTGAGTTCGCCAGTAGCCGAATGAGAGGGACATACGTACTTCTTAGATATGCATCCGATCGAGGCTTCAGACGGCTCTCGGGTTTATCAGAATGGGTCTTTGCGCGCCGAAAGAAGACCATGTCAGTTGGGAACCTCCCGAGTACGAATGGTCTATCTTGTCCTGAGGGGTTAGTGTCATCAAGTGCAAAGTTCGACGAGTGAAACAACGACGGCGCACTATTCTTCGGCAACTTATTGAACATCACCGCTGCAATGAGCTCGCCAACTTTCCTGTACCACTCCTGTCTCGTCTTATCATGCTCCGGGAGGATCGTCACTTGGGAATGAATCGTCGCATTGAGTCCCCTCTTGACGATGGTGCGAGGTTGGGGAGCATTTCCCCCGGGACTCGCGTCGCTCGCATCGATGTAGATGACGCTTTGGCGTACATGGAAATTGGGCGCATCGTAGTCATACGCAAATTTGTCCTTCTCGTACAGGCTCTCTTGTCTTTGGAGCACGTAGGGATCGGCAGACGTCTGGTCGCCGGGTCGAAAGCGGCAGCGATGCAGGGGTACGGTTGTAGAGAATCTGATAGACTGCATTCTGTGCCCTAAAAAGCAGATGAGTAGATGTCAGAGTGCATATACCAAGCACGTACCGTGTGTCCCTCTCACATGCGAGCTACTTGCGTGCGGAGCCTCGCCTTCAGACTCGGAATCTGGGTGTAAAGGAGTCGTTCGCTGACGGCCCTTTCCTTGATAAAGCCGTGGAATGCCATGCCTGAGAATAGAAAAGGGGAGCTCATACAAAACAGCCTCTATAGGGAGAGGAAACGTCTCGGAGGCAGCGATAGATCTGATCACGGTGGGAGGCAAGAGACTCTGAGAAGCCTGTGCGAGACTGCGAGTGGCACCCACGGCCTCGGTCATCGGCCCGCGCCGCACCGCCGCTTCCATGCTTGTCTGCGACCGTGACGACCGTCGACGATCGTTGCCGGCTCACCTCAATCTTGACCTACCGGTTGCTTGGCTCAGAAGTACCTTCGCGTGCCTCTCCTTCTACAAACCACCTGCTATACGCTTCCGGAGGAGGAACTATAAACCTTTGGTGTTTACTCTGTTGGAATAGGTCGAGGCCTTGCAACGGCAGACTGCCACGGGAACGCCTCGTTACACGATGTTCCCAATCACTTACAATGCTTTTGGCGATATTGTCAGCATGATTGGTATCATATACTCTATCGCTCAGGCCTTGAACGACAGCCGTGGATCCCCGAGTGAATATCGCTCCTTCGTGTTCGAACTCCGCGCGTTTGCGAGTGTACTGGAGGAGATCGCGGCTTTGCACATATCTTCGCCCGAGGCTGCCTCTATCCCGCTTCTGGATGGCGTCAATGCTTGTTGCGAAGTTCTGGAAGAAGCTCGTTCGAGAGTCGACCGCTATCACTCTCTCGACGAGCTTCGATCCAGCGTCAGCCTGCAGAATACTATCCTGAAGCTGCGCTGGCGGTTGCTCAAGCGTGACGAGGCTGAGCAGCTTCGTAAGAAGCTTCATTCACGGCTAGAGCTACTACTGGCTTTGGTTGATAGGTACGAGCTTGCTCTTCGCAAGTGTGCAGATATGCTGACACTGGCCACGACAGACACGAATTCTCGAGCGTGCAGTCTCACCTACGTTCAATCAACGTGCAATCGGAGCAGATTCATGCTGCTGTGACCGCCGTGAAGCATACTTCGCGACAGCTTCTCGCTAGGTCCAGTACTGTACAAGCTTCGATGGATGATCTAGGCACTATGTCCTCGCTGATTCTTCGAGATACGTCTACCATGCGCATGGAGAATGCTAGCCTGCGCGACGAACTAGTCGCACTGAGGACAGCATTCCACGAGACGCTTGGTCACTTTGCTTACTTTGCGCGCGGCTCACGATCCTTATCCACATTGATTACTCCGGATGATAGAACGGCTGCCCTTGTGGTGGCCATCATACTGTCAGGCACCTTCGCCTTCCAGAATGACGTCCGTTTCACCATACTATATGCTACTATGGTAGCCTTCCTTCGCAGTATCTTTAAGACGCGCCTTCTTCTCCCGCCTGCTGTCGACCATCCGTCTGAGAATAACGTGCTCTTGATCGACATCCTCGGTTCTCGTATCTCACTCCCCATAGAACTGTGCTCAACGCCCAATGTAAGCATCATCTGCTGTTCTGGCATCTTAAACCGGCACTGAAGTGTATTCAGGACCTACACGAAACGCTAGTCCGTCTCTTTCAGGGGAAAAGGGGACTAGCATTTGTTGTCATTCACGCATACGAGATCATGAAAGTCGGCGGGAGCGTGGCCATCGACTGGGATAACTGGAGTACAGACGTCCAACCTGGTCGCGAACTTGAGATGGGCGTTGTCATACGTCGGCGAATGCCCGCAAAGTCGATCAACGATAGCCCCCGTTTTATGGATACCACATGTCCACGGTGTGGGGCCACACGGAGACGGGACGCGTTACAATATGAAGCCAGAGCGTGGACGGAGTGGTACGTGCGTACATTTAACTTGCTGGTAGTCTCTCACCTTTGATCAGTGATGCGTGTCGAGGCCAATTCCGGTTCTCCCCCGAGTGCGTTTGAGTCAATTCAACGGTTGTCATAGGACTGATCAGAGCAGATCTCCGTATGAGGAGGAGCGAGATCCAGCTCTGCCTCCTCTTTACGAGCCGGACGACGGAGATTCGCAAGGTAGCGATATCGCGTTCCTGCGTAAGATTAGCGTCACATGGAGCCAAGTGCTGGAAAAGGTGCGGAACCCGCCCTACACCCGTTTGATCGCATCCGGTTAACGCTGCCACTCAAGCAAAACTTCTTCGACTCGTACCGCCGATGTACGTCTGTCATGCTTGCTTCTTCTTCACGCTGATGTTCATCGACTCTAATAGCACAACCGCCATCCAAGCCAATAGAGGGTGCTCAAATCGGCGGCCCATCATCCAATGTTCATCTAGGCATGAACTCGAAAACTGGGGAACTCCTTGCTATCAAACGGGTCAAGTCGTCGGTAGACTCTGCGGCATGGTCTATCATCAACAACGATGCCGACATCCTTCGCGATCTCGATCATCCCAACGTTGTTCAATACCTCGGCTCCGAGCTGGCGTCAGCATCCTTCAGTTTGTAAGTATACTCCTATACGAACCGAGTTATACCTCATGAAGTCTCTCATCTTCTTAGTTACATGGAGTACGTACCCGGAGGATCCCTGGCTTCTCTCATTCGCACATACGGGTCTTTCGAGGAACCTCTTGCGAGCAATTGTGCTTCGCAGATAGCTTGCGGATTGGAATATATACACTCTCGGTCGATCATCCACAGAGTGCGTATCTACCAGCATGTGGCGCCAACGATTCTCACGCAGTGCGGCTTAGAGCCTCAACGCGAAGCACATACTACTCGGCAACGATGGAACCTGCAAGATAGCAAACTTCGGCGCGGCCGTATTCCACCAAGAAGATGAGGCACATAAGCCACCCGCCTTATGGGACCCGTACCGGACAGCACCCGAGGCCATGTACCTAGGGCCTCGTTTATACGATTGCAAGATCGACATCTGGAGCTTTGGATGTGTACTGCTGGAGATGTGGACGGGTGAGCGGCCGTGGTCGGGCGAGCCATCTAGAACGGTGGCCTCCAAGGTGAACATCTCGCCCGCTCTGAACACGACAAGACACCTAGCTCACTCCATGCTTGTAGCTTCACACGGGGAGGCAGGGCCCCCCAATACCCGCCATCGTCGATCACAGGCGCCACGCATTGGGTCTTGTCAAGCGGTGCCTCGCGATGTGCGTCTTCGTTTTATGAAGTGACCGTCGCTAAACCTCAGCTGACGATGAGCTAGAACACCAATTTTGCGCCCGTCCGCCACAGATCTGAGAGGACATCCGTACATTGTGGGGCAGAAGTAGTGGGATCTTCACGTGAACCGACATGTGGTCTGGCTATCTATACGCGCGCTGAATAGACATTCATGTACGACACGCAAACCTAGTGGCGTACTGTCCTGGTGTAACGAAGATACCCTATACTTATATGGCAAGCGAGAGAATATCATCGACCAGCAACCTATTATCCAACGAACACTGGTCCTCCACCAGCTCCGACAGCGGAAGTATTTGGTGCCGGGAATGGTGTTTGTAGCTTAGGGCTTGGGTTGAGAGGTCCTGGTGTCTGTCCGCTAGATTCAGTGATGGGAATCTGCGAGCCGGAGATGTCGTTATTGGCGTGGCCCGTCGCCTTTGCAACCAGCGAGTAAACGTTGGACATGATACTAAAGTTCAATATGAGTGAGGTGACATCGCATGAGTGTGGTGCACGCACGGGTCAGTATCGCCGCGACCGAGAGAACCAAGAGCCCAGTTTGCTTGAACGGTGCTCATCGCGGAGTAGTGGGTGTAGTAAGTATGATCGGCAGTCCCATGCAAGTTCGATGGTACTGCGCCGCCAAGTAGTACAGCGAATACATTGTTGTTCAGATTATGGCTCTCGTTCTCGTCGAACGTCAGCAGGATGAGCGTCCTGTCATCGTTGAAGCGCGAGTCCAGAAGCAAGGGCTCAAGCCAGTACTCGAGCCATGAGGCGGTAAAGTCGATAGTAGCTGGCGTGCGGTCGTCAGCGGAGATCCGACGAGGGTTGTGAAGGCGAGCTCACTGTCATGTGCATCGTTCGCCATGTTGGGTGTAACGAACCTGTCAGTGATCAGCTAACGGCCAATCACAGCGCCGGAAAGTTGGGCTCACATCCATTGAGGTAGAGCCGACGCTCCGATATCTTCAGCGAAGTCGTTGAAGTTGCGAACGCGCGCGGCGCGTGAGGGTACGTTGATGACGGAGTCGTATAGGATGGGCGGGTTGTGTTTGCGCATGTAGAACTCAAAAGGCGCAGCTCCTGGGCTGAGATAGTTTTGAGAGGCGAAACTGATGCACATGCGGTAAATCGGAGATGTGTAAGGGGAGTGAATGAGGAACGTACTTCATCCCGGTAAAGCCGTCAGACGGCATGTTCTCTTGATATGCCGCCCAGGACACCCCGCCCAGCTCTAGCAGATCGATCATAGTCCCAATGCTAGACAATGATGGTCAGATACGGATGCAACCAGTAGACCAAGTGGAATGACGTACTTGGAGGGTATATCATGCCTGTCATCATCCGCCGCGCCCCAGAAGCTACCGCCAATCGTCGCCATATAGTTAGGTTGGGATGGATGGGTCAACGCGAAGTACTGATCGAGGAGGATGCCACGCTGAGCCAAGGACCTGAATTCGGCCTGGAGCAGAGGTGCATCAGCAGACATCACGCTTCCTCTTTGTCGACATGCCTCACCGTCGAGTTGGCTACGGCGAAGTCTGTGTTCTCTAGCCATATCTGAGTTGGTGCCGCGTCAGTACTTGCAGAGTACCACACGTCACTGGAGACGTACTTGAATGAAGCGATCGAAAACCTTGCCCTTCGTCACGCTCTGGACAGGAAGTGATCCATTCGACGGGCCGGTATAGTTGGTCGAAGTCGAGAACGGATCTTTAGCGGGAGGACTGAAAGTGAGAGACTGCGAAGCGTTTGAGTGATTGGACGTGCGAAGCGCAGAAGCGAGTTACGTACGGTAACAGCAAAGGCGCAAGGGAACGAACAGAGAGCAAAGAGAATGAGACCGTTCATCGTGGCAGCGAACGACTGCAGAGCGCCAGGGATTCCAAGTGACTACAGAGGCTCTTGTAGTGTCCCGACTTCAGAAGCTCACATATGAACCTCGCACACTATCGCATCCCTTGGTACTTGCTGGGATAGTCCAACTGAAGAACATATGGTGGGCGACGCACGAGGTCTTACAGAGCAGGCTTCGATATCCAGGTGTGGCGTATCGTCCGTCATCTGGATTTCCACAGGGAAGCATTCGCCACGAGTGAGCGCACGTTCAAGGAACGCGAGAGTTCGCCTTCGCAAGCTTTGCGGAGGGAGAGCGAGGCGGCGGAAGCCTTTGGGCGTCGCGCAAGGCATATGATCTGCCATAACAATCGTGGGTGAGTCCGTCGGGCTAGGAGACGCGTTTTCTGGCCGTGGGGTATGCACTGAGTCGCTGACAGCCGGCGGCAGGCACGCTAGCAGGCTCATTCGAAAGAACGAGCAAACGAGCATATTGTTGTGGCCAGGATGCAAGGCTGCTGCATGAACGATTCAACGATGAAAAGGCATGCAATATCCATCGCGAACATGGTGGTCTAGAAGCAACCCGCGTTTCGACGCGTCGATGATGGGCTCAAAGTTTCACGCGATTCAGACTGGTATAGGGTGTTATGCACGAGCAATAACATGCGACGATACCTAAACAGCGACAACCGGCAGACTATCATACAACCGACTAACAAACACAGTGGAAGAGGGCGAGAGTGAGAGCAAAGAGCGGGAGGGCGGGTGAGAGAGCCATTATCGTATGTACAAAAGTGATGCGCGCTGAGCGCGAGTAAATAGTATTACAACGGTGCAAGATGCGGAGGATGAGAGGAGTGAATGCGGGGACGAATGGCGCATGCGTGTGAATATGTGGGGGGAATGCTAAACCGTGATATTGGATGCGGAGAACAGCGAGAAAATATGCAAGCGTGTGCGAGGGTGTGATAAAGAGAGGACGAGGCGGGGGCATGATGAGTAGTACGCATGGGCGCGCACGGGAAAGTTAACCTATGATCGACAACAGAAACCAGTCATGATATGTAACAGAACAAGCGGACATGTCGACGGCTACCACCCTGCGTAGTGATAATCGTCGGCCCACGAGCGATGCCTCGCTATTGCGGCCTTATTGCGCTCCTTGCGCTCACGCTCCCGCCGTTGCTCCTCCGTCTCCACTGGAGGCTGCTTCGGCTCGGGATGAGTCTGCGTGAGCGGTTTGAGGCCGCCGCGCAGCAAGTTGGTCTTGCTGACCTGCCGTTCCCACAGCAGGTTACGACGAAGCGACTCGCTCAACTCCGTGCTGAGCATTTGTCGCCGAGTCGTGCGCGGGGTCATGGGAGGTGCGGGTGCCGGTAGATTCCAAGGATGGTTGAGCGGTATGGGCGCGGTCGCAACGCTCGTTAGCGTCGAGCGTTCGGGCGAAGTTCTGCGAGGCGGCTCCTGATCTTGATCTGATCGGCGTCGGCGACGATTTGGGTCGGTGAGTTCCGCAAGCTTCTGCTGAGCGAGACTACGCGAAAGACATTCGTCCTCATCGTCAGATGAATCGTCTTCGAGCTCCTGCTCGGCGGGACGACCCCTCGGGCGGTAGTGATTGTCAACGCGTGGCTGTGGCGCTTGGGCGGTGATGTTGCTGAGTTGCGGTATCGCCGCCATGCTCTGACTAGTCGAGAGCATTGGTGCCGGTACAAACCCGCGCTGGAGGTTGGCCGTGGACGTCGACCGTAGTGGGTGATTGGGTGGTAACACGGCAGGATCCGGGTTCAACAGCTGAGAAAGCAAACCAGACTGCGTCCGATTGAGATTCGAGTATGATCGTTTAGGGAGCTTGTCGAATAACTCGCGCTGGCGCTGAGCTTCGCGCGCCGCTGCACGGAGGCGCGCCTCGTCTGCCTTGTTCTTCGGCTGCTCTTCCTCGTCATCCTCCCAATCCGACGTAGAACCATCTTCGCTCTCGCTGTCACTGCCCTCCGTTGTCTCATACTCGTCCGAGGACGCGACGACGACTTTCCGTCTTGGTGGTTCAGCCGCGGGCTGTTTCGACGTAGAGGGTTGCTTGAGCGCCGACTTCGTTGCGGTGACAGACGGCGCCTTGGCCAGCGGTGGGGGTGCTGGTGTGGTCACGCGGCTACTCGTGTGTGCAGGACCCGTTTGTGCCCGCAGTAGAGGCGGCCGAGCTGGGGCGGTGGGTTTCCGCGGCTCGACCGGGCGAACTTCGGCGGCCGCACGAGCTTTGCCATTAGGCTGGGGCGCGAGAGCAGAGGAAGCAGCAGGTGACGGAGAAGCCTTGCCGATGCTGTCTGAGGGGCGTCGTTGACTGCCCGAAGTGGCGCGCGAGACGTCGCTGCCTAGCGAACCGACGTCGAACATGCCCTTCGAGCCCGCCTTGTGCTGAGCTTCCGTACCCGCCGCCTTACGCTGGACCAATGGGTGCATACGCTGGCTGAAACGCGCCCGTGTCATGTTGTGGCGAGGCTGATGCGAGCGATGTTGGCCATTCCGACGCGATGTGGCGCTAGCGTGAGTCTGATTCGAGTTCACGCTGCTCGGATCAGCCCCACGGGGACTACCAGCCTCAGATGATGGCGAGCGTGCGGACACGATAGACGGAGACCTCGCTGCTCCTTCGGCTGAGGGTGCACGGCCGGATGGACCGCTCCTAGCGGGTGATGAGGACGCCTGAGAAGAAGCGCTCTGGTTGTCCGGACTCTGTTCGAGGAAGAAGCGGCGATCAACTGCTTTTCCTTCTGCAGCGCTGCTCTTCGCCGGGGCCGGAACTGGCGCGGATAACGCAGGCATCGGCTGCGGCGCCGGAATGAGTGCGGCCTGCTTCACCGCCTCCTGCGGCTCGGTGACTTGCGCAGTAGCTGTCGAGCGAGTCTGCGAGACGGACAGGAGCCGTGGAGGCGGCAGCAGATGCGTATGGGGCAGCGGATGAGGCGCTACCAGTGCTGCGGGGCCAGGTGCTGGAGTCGCGGGAGGCGTCGGATGGGGTGTCGGATTGACGATCACGACGCGAGGAAATGCGTTGGGCACCGTAGAGCCAGCATGAGAAGATACAGGAGGCAGAACGACAGTCGGGAACGGCTCGATAGTCTCTGCTTCTGGCGTCGGGAGTGAAGACGATGCAACCCTGAAAGAGACTGGCTCGGGAGGTCCGGATACCGAGGGCCGACGAGACGGTGGCGTCGTATCGATCTTGTTCTCAGGTAGCATATCGACGATGATCCTGCCAATAGAAGACGACGAATTGGAGCGAACGCTACACGGACGGCTAGATGCCCCAGATATCGCCGACTGTACAGAAAGAGCAGGCGAAGGCGAGCGTAGACGCTGGTGGTCAAAGTCCTGAGAGGAGCCACGGCCGTAATCAGAGATCGGCGAGAGCGGCGCGGCGGTGGACGCGGCGTTCCTGTCTGGGGTCACGCAGCCCGGGCTGTCGGCGTGATGGTGGGCACCAGCAGCGAGTTCGCGGTGCCATAGTCGCCAGGAGATGTTCTCCAGCCGGCGTCCGTCCTGCAGCGACTCTTTGCATTTCGTGAACACTAGGTAAACAAAACGCGTGGTCAATAAACGGGCGAGAATCACGAGCTAGGAGCAAATCAACTCACAGGTCCATAGACCACCCAGTGCGTCCTTGCCCTCGAGGTCGCGTACGGCGTCGACGGCTACAGAGAGCACGGGCGAGGAAAATGTTGTGACCATGGTATGGTGGGGAGACGTGGCCGGAGCAAGTTGCTCAAACGGCAGGAGTCCGAATTGCGGACAAGACGCGACAAGTCAAGCGCGTCTTTCGACGAGCTCAGACCTCTAACAAATGGTTAGCAAATAATCTATAGACCCAGCACAGAGCTCGCACATACGTTGAAAGGTACGGAGAAGTAAGAGACGGAGGTGGTGGTCTGGAGTAAAGACGTGAAGCGGAACGGGCGCTCATGCACTCGGTTGCATGGCGGACCGATCGCCCGGGTACACGGGACGAGGCGGCGGAACCGGCCACGCTCGCCTTCTACTCCTGTACCTCGCCACTTCCCGCCCCAGGATAGGTTGCTTCCCCGCGTCCGGATCTTCTTCTATCACGAACAGACGACTCCTACGCTCTGTATGCATGTACCATTCAGTAAAAAACACATCCAGCGTTCTTTTCCCCCACCACAATCGTCCTACCCCGCTTCATGCCGTATCGCGAAACGCGACGCTCAATTTATCTCCACGCGCCTCCCCAGCCTGCTCTAACGGCTCAGATGACCTCGCCCTTCGCTCCCATCGCTCGCGCCTATCCACAACAGCCTCCCTTTTTCGTCTATCCGGTTGTTCTCTCTTCCTTCGGCCATCTCTGCGGCCAACATCTCGCAGCCATTGGTCGCCTTGCCTCGCAATTTAGTTCGAGTACACTGCACCCATAACGTTACAGATGCGCCTTCGGGTCTTGCCGCACGGTGTGCAACTGTGCACTCGAGCTCCGGCTGCAAAACATATTTCGATTGGTACGAGCCGCGCCGCGCCATCGCCGCCATCGAGCGTCCGGCTCGGCCGCTG